GGGGGGGGGCGCCTCCTTGCAAAAGGAGAGAGGCGGGGGAGGGGGGAGACTAAAGGGTGGGGGGGAAAGGACAGTGTTTCTTTCCCCCCCCCCCCACCCCCGGCGTGCACGCGCCTCGCTTCCCGATCGGGGGCGCGCGCGCATGCCCCCCCCCTTTTCTCTCTCTCTCTCTGTCTCTCGCAGCGTCCTTCCTTCCTTCCTTCCTTCCCCCAAGCCGGCGCTCGCGGGCGCCCGGCGGCCTTACATGCTTGGAAGCGAGCGCGGTGATGCTGCGGATCAGGCCGCCCAGGCGGGAGGCGGAGGCGCTCCGTCCGGGCCGAGTGGGGCCTCCTCCGCCGCCGCCTCCGCCCAGCCCCGCCGCCGCCGCCTCGTGCTGCTGCTGCCCCAGCCAGCCGGGCAAGGCGCTGAGCAGCGTCCGCTCCACCACGTCGCTCATGCCCGGATTGCAGCCGCCGCATCCCGGAAGAGCAGGCCCGACGCTGGCCTCGGCCCCCCGCCCGCCGCCCCGGCGCTCATTTCCGGCCCGGGCCTTGCCGCGTTCCGCCTCCCGCGGCTCTCTTCTCTCTTCTCTCTCTGCCCGCCGAGGCGCATGGGAGGGGGAGTCCCTCCCGCAGCAGAAGGGACGGGGATGGGGGCTTGGGGGGAATGGGGGTGGCACAGGCAGGAGGCTCTTAAGGCAGGAAGGTAGGAGAGGGGCAGGGGTATTGGGGGGACTACAAATCCCATCGTCCTTCTCCAGTTGTCTGCTAGGAGCCTCTTCTTTCCTTCCTTCCTTCCTTTCTTTCTCTCTGTCCCTTTTTCCTTCCTTTCTGTTTCTTCCTTCTCCTTTTTCTTTTCCTTCCTTCCTTTCTTCCTCTCTTTTTCCATTCCTTCTTTCATCCCTTTTCTTTCCTTCCTTTCTCTTTCCTTCCTTCCTCCCCTCCACTGTCCCTTTTCCTTCCTTTCTGTTTCCTTCCTTCTTTTTCTTTTCCTTCCTTCTTTCTTCCTCTCTTTTTCCATTCCTTCTTTCATCCCTTTTCTTTCCTTCCTTCCTTTCTCTTTCTTTCCTTCCTTTCTTCCTCCCCTCCGCTCCCCCTTCCTTCCTTCCTTTCTTTCTCTCTGTCCCTTTTTCCTTCCTTTCTGTTTCCTTCCTTCCTTCTTTTTCTTTTCCTTCCTTCCTTCTTCCTTCCTCTCTTTTTCCATTCCTTCTTTCATCCCTTTTCTTTCCTTCCTTCCTTTCTCTTTCTTTCCTTCCTTCCCTCCGCTCCCCTTCCTTCCTTTTCTCTCTGTCCCTTTTTCCTTCCTTTCTGTTTCCTTCCTTCCTTCCTTCCTTCTTTTTCTTTTCTTTTCCTTCCTTCTTTCTTTCCTCTCTTTTTCCATTCCTTCTTTCATCCCCTTCCTTCCTTTCTCTTTCTTTCCTTCCTCTTTTTCTTTTCCTTCCTTCCTTCCTCTTTCCTTCCTCCTTCCACTAATGGCTGTATGACTGTAACTTTGTTGCTTGTATCCTTACAATTTATATTGACTGTTTCCTAATATGATTTGATTGCTTATTGGTACCCTATGACTATCATTAAGTGTTGGACCTTATGATTCTTGATGAATGTATACTGCTCAAAAAAATAAAGGACACAAGCAGAAGACATCTGAGATCTGAATGAATGAAATAGCCTTATTAAATACTTTGTTCATTACATACAGTAGTTTATACACTGCTCAAACAACTAGAGGGAACACAAAACTACTGTATGTAACGAACAAAGTATTTAACAAGGCTATTTCATTCATTCAGATCTCGGATGTCTTCTGCTTGTGTCCCCTTTATTTTTTTGAGCAGTGTATCTTATTCTCCTTATGTACCCTGAGAGCATATGCACCAAAGACAAATTCCTTGTGTGTCCAATCACACATGGCCAATAAAGAATTCTATTCTATTCTATTCTATTCTATTCTATTCTATTCTATTCTATTCTATTCTATTCTATTCTATTCTTTCGTCCTTCCTTCTTCCTTTCTCTTCTCTTTCCATTCTTCCTTTCATCCCTTTTCTTTCTTTCCTTCCTTCCTTCCTTTCTCTCTTTTTTCTCCTCACTGCCTTTCTCTTTCTCTTCTTCTTTTGTCCTTTCTCTCCCTTCTTCCATTCTCTCTCTCTCTTCTTTCCTCTTTTCTTTCCTCCCTTCTTTCTTTTCTTCCTTCCACAGGTGCCCATCTCAATTTTACCTGACTCTAGGTACCTTACAATAAAAGTGAAGAAAATACACTGTATATAAAATTAAAACACATGCTCTGGGCTCTACCGATGCCCAGGGCCCCAGCTATAACTAGAGTTTGTATCTGTCCGCCGTCTTTATTCATTTATTTAATGTATTTACATGGTTCCTATCCAAAGTACACAATGGAGTATTTGACGATTGATGTGAAGTAGAGACACTTCGTTAGATCTTCTGGTCAAGAGATGGTGAGAAGCCTGATGATAGTTATTTTTATAGAAATGGTTAGTAGTTACTATTTGGTATAAGTTGATACTGTAACGCCGTTATGTATCTTACTTCACTTTAAAAAGTTGCAGGTCATTGCTTTTTTTATTCTTTTTTATTTTGCCCCATCCCCCTCTATCCCCTTTCCTTTCCCTTTTTGTATTTTACATTAAGGGGGAAAAAAATTCTTAATAAAAATACACTGTAAAAAAGAAGCCTGAAGATGGCACCAAAAGACAGCTTTCCAAAATAACTTTGAAGAGTTCAAAGCTTTTGAAACATCCTTAATCATGTAAGCACAACAAATTGGTCATATCGCAGAAGTGGGAAATAATCCTTTTCCTTTTACAAGACGGTCTAAATCTTAAATAAATAAATTAAATAAATAAATTTAAATTTTAAATAAATCTTAAATATAATTAAATTAAATTAAATTAAAAATAAAAATCTAAATCTTAAATAAATAAATAAATAAATAAATAAATAAATAAAATTAAATAAATGTCCAGTTGTGGACTTCAACTCCCAGAATTCCTCATGCTGGCTGGGGAAGTTTGGGAGTTGAAATCCACCAGTCTTAAAAGTTGCCAAGGTTGGACACATCCGGTCTAAATGCAGAGTTCCAAATTTCTACATAAGTCCCTTATTTAGAACTTTAATCTTTAGTTAGAAGGTCAAATTTATTCAGCTGGGTTTTAGCTACGGTTCCTTCACCAATTTATCCATGGCTGGAGTTTATTGCTGTCCCCTCCCTAAGTCACTGAACTGTTAGCAGGAAGCACAGCACAATCAGAATTGTGCACATAGATCCTGTTCCTACACTTACTTTCAAAAGTAGCTTTAGGATTCCTGTGGATGTATTATTTAATGATTAAATTTTTATCCCACCTTTATTACATTATAAATAATTCAGGGTGGCAAACATACATACATAATACTCCTTTTTTCCCCACCACAACAATTCTGTGAGGTGGGTTTGATTGAGAGAGAGAGAAAGTCACTCATCTGGCTTTCATTCCCAAATCAGGACTAGAACTCATCGTCTCCTGGTGATTGGTTTAAAGACACCCACTTGACTTTCATGCCTAAGGCAGGACTAGAACTCACATCTCCTGGTGATTGGTTCAAAGACACCCACTTGACTTTCATGCCTAAAACATCCACTTAGTTTTCATGCCTAAAGCAGGACTAGAACTCACCGTCTCCTGGTGATTGGTTCAAAGACACCCACTTGACTTTCATGCCTAAGGCAGGACTAGAACTCACCATCTCCTGGTGATTGGTTCAAAGACACCCACTTAGTTTTCATGCCTAAGGCGGGACTAGAACTCACCGTCTCCTGGTGATTGGTTCAAAGACACCCACTTAGTTTTCATGCCTAAGGCGGGACTAGAACTCACCGTCTCCTGGTGATTGGTTCAAAGACACCCACTTAGTTTTCATGCCTAAGGCGGGACTAGAACTCACCATCTCCTGGTGATTGGTTCAAAGACACCCACTTAGTTTTCATGCCTAAGGCGGGACTAGAACTCACCGTCTCCTGGTGATTGGTTCAAAGACACCCACTTAGTTTTCATGCCTAAGGCGGGACTAGAACTCACCGTCTCCTGGTGATTGGTTCAAAGACACCTACTTAGTTTTCATGCCTAAGGCGGGACTAGAACTTCACCGTCTCCTGGTGATTGGTTCAAAGACACCCACTTAGTTTTCATCCCTAAGACAGGACTAGAACTCACTGTCTTTTGATGATTGGCCCTGAGTCACCTAGTCAGCTTCCATCCCTAAGGCAAGACTAGAACTCACCATCTCCTAGTTTCTAGACCAGCACCTTTAGCCATTACACTAAACTGGCTTTTTTTTCTCATTTCCTAGACTGGTGTTCCAGGTGGGGCTGACGCCATGTGCATGTACCTCTCTCATTTACTATTCTACAGTAATGAACCTAAAGCATAAGATGTGTCAACATTACTTTTGGCTTTAAATTACGCCTATCTTTGCCCAGGAAATCTGTTTGCCCAACACCGTAATAGAGAAGCTTAAGTGCAGGAGTTTCCATTACTGTGATTCAGCATTACGGTGTGGGGTTTGTGCGTTGCTGCTTTTTCAGCTCACCATCTGGCCATCCTTTCGTTCCAGTGCCTCAGAATAAACAAAACGTTAGCTGATGTGTTCCAGAATATCCTTGGGGGTGTGTAGGCGTGCGATTTTATTTTCTCCTAACCTCCTCCTGGGTCCTCCATTCTCTACTTTGAAACAGAGACAGAAACAGGTTTGGTGTTCTTTTCCATATCATTTCCCAAGCCTGATTATTCTGGGTTTCCCAGCAAACATCAGTACTTTTCAAGAAATGATCAAAACCAATAAGTATCTGAAAAAGAGCAGGTCAGATCAAGTGTTTCACAGACAGATGCCATAAGAACACCGAGTTTCTACCCATAAGTAGTTTCTCTTCTATCCACTTAATAGGTTTTTTTTCCCCTTCAGTTATTTTGTATGTGCCTCTCTTGAAGTTGGCTCAGTGGAGCAAACTTACCACCCTCTAGAATAGGGATCCCTACACCATTTATTAACAGATTAACAGATGAAGTTGGAAGGGACCTTGAAGGTCATCTAGTCCAACCCCCCAGCCCAGCCCAGCCCAAGCAGGAGATCCCTTACATTTTGGAGTTGACGGCATGTGTGAAAAGTCAGAAGAACATGGAAACTGATAATATAGATAGTCTTCGACTTACATCAGTTCATTTAGGGACCGAAGTTATAACGGCACTGAAAAAAAGGGGACTTATGACCGTTTTTTAAAATGTACTACCATTTGCAACAGACCCCGTGGTCACGTGATCAAAATTCATAGCCTTGGCAAATGACTCATATTTATGACGGTTGCTGCGTCCCGTAATCCCCTTTTGTGACCTGACACTGACAAGTCAACGGGGAAGCCAGATTCACTCAACAATCATGTTACTAACTTAACTGTCTCGCTCAGCAGCAGAAATTTTGGGGTCAATTGTGGTTGTAAATCGAGGACTACCTGCCGTTGCTTTGGAGACCAAGGATGAGACTTTTGAGCTAGCTCTAGGCCCCTGTGAAATTCAGTGAGGCAAGTTCTCAGCAGGGGTGAAATCCAGCAGGTTCTGAAGAACCAGCAGCAGAAATTTTGAGCAGTTCGGAGAACCGGCAAATAATACCTCTGGCTGGCCCAAGAGTGCAGTGGGAATGGAGTTTTTGCAATATCTTTCCCCCAGGAGTGGGGAGGGAATGGAGATTTTGCAGTATCCTTCCCCTGCCACACCCAGCAGGCCACGCCCACCAAGTCACACCATGCCCACCAAGCCACGCCCACAGAACCGGTAGTTAAAAAAAAAATAGATTTCACCACTGGTTCTGAATATGAATAGATTGCCTTTCCTGTATAAACATATTTGTAATTTTGGATTGAGGCGTTTCTGTGTGCATGCACATATATAGTTAATATTGTTTATAGTTTATAAATCATTGGCCCTCTGGCAGATCCAGCTTGGCTTGGCTTTCACAACTATTTTTGTTGAAATAATATGCTGTTGAATTGAATTTCTGATATAACGTCTGTTCTCTTGTTCATATACTGTTCAGTTTCCTGCCACATGCCTTTCAGAGGTACAAATAATTTTAATCCATCCATGGTACTCAGACAGAGCATTTATCTCTAATAACAGCTATTGCAAAAAAAAAAAAAAAAAAGCTATAAGCGGATACTGTCATGGTATTCAGAGATAAGTACATTTCCTGCCCTTATTATGGTCAGGAAAGTCATTGAAAATCTGGCTGTTCTCCCAGTCTTTGGGCAAATCGTGGCTGAGCCGCTATGGATTATTGTATTGTAATTCAGAGTCTTCGTGCTTAGGATCAGTTTCTACTTGTAATTATTATTTTTTTAGTGTAAGCCACCCAGAATCATCTGGAGTCACCTGACCTCTAAACTGAATGAAAATCTTCAACACCATCCTACTTGAAATCATTCTCCTGTTCCTTTCTTCCATCTTTTACCATCCAGGCCAGTAGTGGGTTTCACTTACCTTCGCTGTTGGTTTGGAACTGTGAGCACGTGTGTTCGCTTGTGCGCAGCACTTCTGCGCCTGCACAGAACATCTGTGATGACGTCCAGGTGGGTGGGTGCTAACCCACCGCCGCTGCTAACGGTTCGCCCGACCACTGATCCTGGCCCTGAGCAACCCCAGTTTGTTTTAGAATAGAATAGAATAGAATACTTTGTTGGCCAAGTGTGATTGGACACACAAGGAATTTGTCTTGGTGCATACGCTCTCGATGTACATAAAAGATGTTATTTCAATATAGTAGCTGTATTAAAAAGTACTCTCATGATTGGAATTCATTTGTTGTTCTTAAGAACCTGTTACGCTGTCCTCTCTCCATAGTCTTTTACAAGTAATCATTGCGATAAACAAAAGAGGATAATTTTTTTTTAAATTTGATTTATATGCCGCCCTTTCTCCGGAGACTCAGGGCGGCTTACAATACATTAAGCAATAGCCTTCATACTTTTGTATATTTATACAAAGTCAGCTTATTGCCCCCACAAACTGGGTCCTCAATTTACCTACCTTAGAAAGGATGGAAGGCTGAGTCAATCTTGAGCCTGGTGAGGTTCGAATTTACAGTAATTGCAGACAGCTGGTGTTAATCACAATGCTATCAGTCTGCTGAGCCACCAGTTCCTTCGTATAATTGTTGCTTTAACTAATCAGTCATGTCCCACTCTTGGCGACTTTACATACAAGTGCTCCCCGCGCTAGACTGTCAAACACAACTTCTTTCAGTTGTTGGATGTTCATCTTATAATACAATCTATTTATTCCTTAATTGAACTCTACTGTTCTGCCTCAGCTACGGACCCCAAAGGACGCAGCACACACAAAGTCCGTTCAAACATTAGTTTACTAAATAAACCAGTTTTTTACAACAACGACTGTTAATTAACTGCATTAACAGCCGCCAAGAATTCAAAGAGTAATACTGAAAGCTTACTGTGGTTGGTAGAATGCCCAGAAGCAATTTGCAGGAAGCTGATAAGATAAGCAAGACAAGACACGAAGATATGTGAACTAAGTTGTTCCCTGCAAATTGCTTCAGTCGGGGTTCCTCCTTAAATAGGCTAAGGAATTTATCTTCCAGGTTCTCCTACGTGCTCTTCCTTCATTGGGACCACAATTCCTGCAGTGTTCAGGGGCCATAGTTGCTGGGAATCTTAAGAATCGATGCTTGCTCATTTAACAAATATTTTGAAGGATGAAAAGGGGCCAGAAAGATGAATTTGCCACATGCAGAAACTGTTGTACAGTTGTACTTTATTTTTATTTGTTATTTTTATTTATTTGTCAAGCATGTGTAAGATAACAGATATAAGTATAAACATGATTATGAATACAGGGAATGGATACGAATACATGGGGAGAGTAGGACAGGGACGGTTGGCACATTGGTGCGCTTATGCACACCCCTTACAGCCCACTTAGGAATGGGGTGAGGTTGACAGTAGACAGTCTAAGGTTAAAGTTTTGGGGGTTTGGGGATGAAACCACAGAGTCAGGTAGTGCATTCCAGGCATTGACCACTCTGTTGCTGAACTCGTATTTTCTGCAATCGAGTTTGGAGCAGTTTACCTTGAGTTTGTTTCTATTGTATGCTCGTGTATTATTGCGGCTGAAGCTGAGGTAGGACGTTGTAGCAGATAATTTTGTGTACTACGCTTAGGTCAGACCGAAGGCAGTGTAGTTCTAAGTTGTCTCAGCCCAAAATTTCAAGCCTGATGGCATAAGGGATTCTGTGCCGAGCAGAGGAGTGGAGGACTCTTCTCGTGAAATATCTCTAGACTCACTCAATTGTATTTATGTCCAATATGCAGTGCGGGTTCCAGGCAGACGAGCTGTATTCGAGAATTGGTCTAGCAAACGTTTTGTATGCTCTAGTTAGCAGTACAATATTACCAGAGAAGAAACTACGCAAGATTAGGTTAACAACTCTTAATGCCTTTTTGGCAATGTTGTTAACAGTGGTCTCTTGAAAAGAAACCCACTGTAGCATCCTTCCTCCCTTTTTGCTGCTGCAAACTGATCCTCCTCCCATAATCTCGGAGGAGAGAAGTCATGAAACAGCCTGAATCTTTCTTTTAAGAAGCACAAAAAGACACATTCTCCTTGCCCTGTGAGTTGGGGGCACTCAAAGTGCCATTTATCATAAATGTCTGCTTACCCTGGACATCACTTTGAGAGAGAGACAGTGTCATGCTGTGTCCAGCCATGATGTGCACCCCTTTCTCTTTCAGAATGAGGTCGGCAGGCAGGGGCATCTTTCTAGAAGCAAGGTTTTTTTCCCCCCGTGGGCAGAACACGTTTGGAAACAAAGAATGTTTTCATACTGGGCTTTAATGCTTTCCCGTAGTTCTTTCCAGCAAGTGAGGCTGGGCTGGAAAGAGAGTGGGAGCACTGCACGCATGCTCCAGCATCCGCAGCCCCCCCCCCCACATCCCTTTCTCATCCCTGATCTCCTCCCCTCTTCTCTCCTCCACCCCTGCTTGGAGCTAGAAAGGAACTAGCTCATCTATTGAGAGGGAAAGGAGGGGAAAGAGGAGGCTGATCTGTCACTGGGAATCTCTCCAGCATCCTCCCAAGTAGCTGGTTGATCCAGGAGCAGCTGGGACTCTGGGTATTTCAGCACCAGCAGCCCTGGACAGCTCCAGATTCATTGAACTGGTACTTCGAGCTGCTGGCTGAATCCGCCCAGAGACCGACGTCATCACACAAAGAAAAAAAAGGCGAAGCATCCTTGCTGGGCACTCCTTTGATCTGCACAAGATCCTGCTTTTCCCCTGGAAAGCCCCACAGCAGGGTTTTCTCCTAAACCATGGGCAGAAAGATGCTCCTCAGCCTGTTAACCATGTTGTCCTTGATCGTAGGCCAAATGTTTGGCTTCCCAAAGCCCGAAGGTGCAAGAGAAGGTAAGCAGACTCAGCCTTACGTTGGGGTTGGTCTCATTTTAAACTTCCTCGTCTTTCAGTAGTTGTAGTGTAATTCGTACCCTTCATTGCCTTGCAATGTGAAGGAAATGACTTAAAAGAGAGGTGGTGAGACGCTGAACAATTTTTAAAGAATAGAAATTATACCACGTCGGTTCAATTTGGTTCCAAAATCTACATATACAGATTTGGAACACAGCCCCTAGATTAAAGTGTGTGCCAAGTTAAATAAGACCAGGAAAAAAAAGGAGGAATTTCAGAAAAATTGGAGGAAAAAGTTTGAATTCCTTTTGTTCTAGATTTCTTTTTCATACGGGGCCTGTTTGATTTGCAAGGAAACTCCCTGTACAGGTTTCTCTTAATGTCATACAATCTTTTAATCTCTTGATTATTCCAAGCTGATTACGTTACTGCTATTTTAGTCCAGTCCTTATGAGATTTTTTTATATATATATAATTGTGTGCATTAGATGATGTATGATGACAAATAAGAGCGATGCCCTCTTGTGAAGGAATATCCAGGGCTAATTTCATTAATTAAGAACAAAAATAAATCAAATCAATTTGTTTTTCCCCGCTGATAAGGTTCTTCTGGGACTTGTTTCAGCATTTTTAAACAAGTGGAGTATTAGGGAAAGAGGTTCGGATGAATTTCAATAATATGATTTATTATTATATACCTAGCTTATGTGCAAGAGAGAAAACCTGATTGTACCACAGCTGTCTAAATATGTATGTCTCTATTCCAGATAAAACAGTATACAACAGAGAACTAACTGTAGAGAGACCATTGGAAGAACAGGTAGGTAAAGCAAGTTTTTACACAAATATATTTCAGTACTGTAAAAATCAGCAGAAACTAATTGCTGCTCTAATTGCTAGGAGAATCCCCGTGATCTAAAGAAATTGATTTCGTAGCACCAATCAAAAACCAAACAAAACTAAAAATCCTGTGCCACACAAACTTTCCAACTAAATATTTACTAGACCTCAATCCTGCCGAAGCCGATGTATACAATAGTTTATACAGGAGCTCATGTGCAACTGCATCCTTGCAACGGAATGAGCTTTTAGCTGACAAGTGACTAATTCATCACTGGCAAAAAAAAATCAGATTCATGCAACTGATGACGTAGATGTCCACGCACAGGAGAACAACTGTCAGTCTTCAAAATGTTCTGGAATCCTCAGATGTTTTCACGATTAGCCAAAACATCGGAGTGGGGTGGGGGGATTTTGGAGGCACAGTCGTACAAAGTTTTGAGGATTCCAACCCAATGAGGGTTTTCTATAATGACCACATTAACCTTTAACCAATAACATTAACAGAGTTGGAAGGGACCTTATAGGTCAGTGATGGCTAACCTTTTTGTTGCCACGTGGCAAAACCATGCATGCGTGTACCCATAATGCAATGTGCGTGCGACCCCACCGCACGCCCCACCTCCTGTGCATGCGCATGCAACCCCCCCGTGGGTATCCCGCCCCTGCCCCCGGCAGCCAGAACCCCCCGCCCCTCCCCCTACCCCCTGGGCCTGTGTGGCCACCCCCCCCCCCGTCCCCCCCCCCCCCCGGGCATGCGTACGCACCCCCCGCATGTGGACCCCCCCCCCCGCATACACATGAGTCTCCTGCATGTGCTCCACTCCCCCGCACATGCATGGCAGAGACCCAAAAACTGGCAGGAGGTACATGCACATCAGTGGTGGGTTCCTCCCGGTTCGGCCTGGTTCTCCCGAGCCAGTAGCGGTGACGATATGACGTCACCAAATCGGTTCTGCCCCCCCCCGCTCCCCCCACATGTGGGAGGCCCCATTAACCTCCAAGAGGTTCCTATTTTTCTCTTCCCTCACGTTAATTGTAAATTAATTAGCGACAGCTTAGAAATGCCTTCAGAATTCGTGACACAGCATGTGGCTCCAGACTTTTGCTGTGTACCTTTGATCCAAGGGAACTGTATAAGCATTGATCCAATCTCTCTCTGCACAATACTCTCATTGCGCTAAAGTCCAATACTGGATCAACATCGCAGTCAATTGATTAGATTGTTATTTTCACACTCAGATATGTTGGGGATATCCTAGAATTTCTTGCTACCTCGCCAAAAAATCCATTCAGGGCTTCTGTAGGAGTAGCTGGAAAAAAAGAAACCCAAATGAGTTGGTATTAATAAATATTAATCACAAATATTCTGTGTTTTGAGCTGGGCATACATTTGAAATTTTAAGAACAACGCAATCACTTTCAGAAAGGGCCAAGTACATGTGCATCTACAAAAGTAGTTGCCATGCTATGCACCAGAGGGGAGTTTCAGCAGGTTCTGACCAGTTCTGGAGAACCGGTAGCGGAAATTTTGAGTAGTTCGGAGAACCAGTAGTAAAAATTCTGACTGGCCCCACCCCCATCTATTCTCTGCCTCCCGAGTCCCAGCTGATTGGGAGGAAATGGTGATTTTGTAGTATCCTTCCCCTGGAGCGGGGTGGGAATGGAGATTTTACAGTATCCTTCTCCTGCCATGCCCACCATGCCACGCCCACCAAGCCATGCTACACCCACCAAGCCACACCCACAGAACCGGTAGTAAAAAAAATTGAAATCTACCACTGCTATGCATTAACTAGAATATACAGGTAGTCCTCGATTTACGACCACAATGGAGCCCAACATTTCTGCTGCTAAGCGAGACAGCTGTTAAGTGAGTTTTGACCCCATTTTACGACCTTTCGTGCCCCAGTGGTTAAGTGAATCACTGCAGTTGTTAAGTGAGTAACGTGGTTGTTAAGTGAATCTGGCTTCCCCATTGACTTTGCTTGTCAGAAGGTCGCAAAAGGGAATAGACGACCCCGGGACGTGGCAACCGTCATAAGGACATGCCACGTGTATAAATTTTGATTAGGTGGCGGTGGAGATGCTGCAATGGTCGTAAGTGTGAGAAACGGTCACAAGCCACATTTTTCAGTGCTGAAGGAATGTTGTAAGTTGAGGATTGCCTGTAGTGAACAGTAGGCCAGTTGATGAGGCTGGTCCCCTTCGCTACTATTCCCAAGACGCTTCCATCTAGCCCAGTTTATCTTGATTTATCTTGGGCAAATGGCTCAAGGAACCCCAAGAAGCCAAGACTCACTCAGTCTTGTCTGGCCCCACCAACAGATTGCTGAAGCAGAGACAAACAAAATGAAGAAATCACTCCGGACAGGTAAGCCGTCTTTTCTTATTCCTGACTCACTCACTATTATGGGTTTTAATTCAGCCAAATTTAGTTAATTCATTTTATTCGATTTTAAATTTTGTATATCTATGTGTTTTATTTCATGGCTGTGCACCGCCCTGAGTCCTTCGGGAGTAGGGCGGTATAGAAATTCAATAAAAACTAAAAAACTAAAACTAAACTATTCCTTACGCTTTTTAAAAAAATTCCTGATTCACCCAGACCGCTGCTTGCTCAGAGGATGAGATAGTTTCTCACCCGTCTGTATTCCAGATCTTCCAGACAATAAGCCAGAATTCAGGAATTATTCATTTGTGGATGACTTGAACCTGCTGAGATCTGTTGTGGAAAAAGACAGAAAGGAAAAGGAAATGGAATCGGACAGGAGTCCCCTGTATCACCAACAGCTTGCTCTTGACGATGCAGATTCCACCAAGAGACGCAGGCTGGTGGAGGAGTATGACTCCACTAAAAGTGATGTGGATTATAAATACCAAGGTACTGCACTAGCCTTCACCGGCCACGATTATGCTTTGAATTCGTCTTACGTACGCAGATGAGCCGAACAGCTTCTCTGAAGGCACGACATCACGGTAGAGTCATCAATCTTAGCGGAAAAGCAACAAGAGTGCCAAGTTGGCCGTGTGCCAAGTACCGCTGACGTGGGTAAAGGAACCGATACTTAGGAAAAAAGAGGAGAGAGTGAGATTCAAACCATTACGCAATAGCGCAGAATGCACTTAACCCTGGCTTGTAACACAAAACACAGTACCTTAGGGCACGAGTTCCCAATCCCCGGGGCCCCGGCCCTTCAGAACTGGGCTGCAGAAGTGGCGAACACGCATTTATTTATTTATTTATTTATTTATTTATTTATTTATTTATTTATTTATTTATTATATTTCTATACCGCCTTTCTCCCGTAGGACTCAAGGCGGTTTACAGTCAAGAAAAATATAGACACACAAACATCACAAAATTGCCAATCAAAATTATTACTTAGTTTGGTCAATTAAACAAAACCCGGAATTAGATAACATTTAAAAAATCATTCGCATGTTTGTATGTTTAGCCCCGCCTGTTGGAACATCAGGGTCTTGAGGGCACGGCGGAAAGCACGGAGATCAGGGATATTTCGTATCTCCGGGGGCAGTTCATTCCAAAGGGTTGGAGCCCCCACAGAGAAGGCCCTCCCCCTGGGAGTCGCCAATCGACATAATTTGACTGACGGTACCCTGAGTAGTCCCTCCCTGTGAGAACGAACTGGTCGGTGGGAGGCTATTTGTGGCAAAAGACGGTCTCGTAGGTACATGTGCCAGCAGCAGGCGAGGGCATGCGTGCATCTCCATTTGTGTGAGTGTCGAGTGTTTCGTGCCCACCACTTGTGCAGATTTGTTTAACAAGCCACAGTTAAGTGCATTCTATGCTGGAGATGCACATGCTCGCCCGCCGCTCGCGTGGAACCATTCCTTCTCCCCCACCTCGCCGGTCCACAAAGCTGGAAAAATTGGGGAATACTGCCTTAGGGCACACATAACCATGATTTCATATTTCAGTGGCTAAGGAATATAAACAGTTCAAGTCCAAAGCTAACCGATAGCGTAACGCTTGTCTGACAGGCAACTAAAGTCACAGGTTCATAAATGAGTTTCTCAAATGCTGGTTTTTGGGTAGCTAAAGTGGCACCATTTATGAAGGAGACCGTAGATCGGGGGTGAACGACTATGGCAAATTTATGACCTGTGGATTTCCAACTCCCAGAATTCCTGAGTCAATGCCACTTCTGGGAGTTGAAGCCCACAGGTTATGAAGTTGCTCTGTTATAGATATTGGCGCATGCGGAGAAGTAATCTTACAGAAGCATTGTTGTTGTTAGTTGCAAAGTTGTGTCCAACCCATCACAACCCCATGGACAGCGTTCCTCCAGGCCTTCCTGTCCTCTACCATCCTCCGGAGTCCATTTAAGCTCACGCCGACTGCTTCAGTGACTCCATCCAGCCACCTCGTTCTCTGTCATCCCTTTCTTCTTTTGCCCTCAATCGTTCCCAGCATTAGGCTCTTCTCCAGGGAGTCCTTCTTTCTCATTAGGTGGCCAAAATATTTGAGTTTCAAACTTGGCAGAAATACCAAAAGTTCAAAATTTTAGAATTCCGAACGGAGATGATGAACACCCAAAATAAACAAGGCCTTTTACCTAATTGGAGAAGACTCGTTTGAAGTAAGCAGGTGCCTTCAAGTTCTCAATTTCTTGAATTCTAATGATAAGGCTTCTGGATAGCATCAGATTGGCAAGATCTCTGGTGCTGCTGGTACATCTGATTCTACTGTAAAGCACAATTCGGTACAGGAAGAACATTTCTGTCTCTTAACGAATCTCAGTCTGTTCTCATGGATGCCATCCAAATGCAGTGTGTAATCCCAGTATTAGAGAAACCGTGGAATGCAAAAATAGAAACCTATTAATTTATCAGCATTATGTAAACCAATTTCTTTCTGCATGCACGATGTGAATTTTCCATGATGTTCATAATTAGCACTAGTCTTGAACTTTTAAAACAGGAGGACGGGAAGAGGCGGTGACCCCTGGTACACGCAGAACGGGCCGTCGAAACTACTTATATTACTTAACTAGGAAGCACAGCGTTAACCGAGCTTCTCTTATAGAGACTGCCCACTCAAAATAAGTAAAGTGGGTAACTGCATACATACACAAACGGGGGGGATAATCTACAAAGCCATGCAACACACTTAACATTGTATGTCCAGCGGGAGCAGAATAGCAGAAAATTTGATCTGATGCAGAAGTTCAATATACTGTAACTGGCCTAACATTTGTCTTTTCAGAATCACAGAGTTGGAAGGGACCTTGGAGGTCTTCTAGTCCAACCCCCTGCTCAGGCAGGAGGAAACCCTATACCAGTGATGGCTAACCTTTTTGCCATTGCGTACCAGGAGCGGGGGGGTAGGGGGGTTGCGTGCATGTGTGCCCACACCCTTAATTCTATGCGCCCCACCCCTGCGCATGCACGTGTGCCCCCCACCACTCCCCCACCGCTCCTGGCACATGATGGCGCAGTGGGTCCAGTAGGCCCATTTTTCTCTCTCCCCAGGCTCCAGAGCCTTTCTAGGAGCCGAAAACGGCCTTCCCCACCCCCCTGGAGGCCCTCTTCCGGACCGGAAGTTGGCAAATGGGCCGTTTCCAGCCTCCGGAAAGCCTCCGGGGGGGGGAGGCTGTTTTCGGCCTCCCCAAGCTCCTTGAAAGGCTCTGGAGCCTGGAGAGAGAGAGAAAAACGGGCCTTCCCCACAACCCCCTGAGGCCCTCCAGAGGCAGGAAACAGCCTGTTTCTCTACTTCCAGTGGGCCCAGAAGGCCCGAAAATTAGTTGGCTGGCACGTGGATGCTGAGCTCGCGTACCCACCGATATGGCTATGCGGGCTACCCATAGGTTCACCATCACGGCCTTATACCATTTCAAAAAAATAATTGTTTCCAATAATGATTAGACAAATTTGAGTCTAATCATGATTGCAACTAGAGACAGGCCCATTTGTACTGTTAGGGCACAGTGTAGTTTTTCAGGCCTCGAGTGTGGCCCCAGAGTCTTCCTGGCTTGGTTCATAAATTATAAAGTTTAACGGAACAGAACGAAAACCTAATTAAATGTAACCATGTCTATTATTAAGTGCAATCATGGTTTAATTTTATTTCATTTCAATTTAACATAAAAGGAAAGAAAAGATATATATTTTATCATGGCATCATTTGGGAGGAGGGTGGTCCCCAGAATGCCATTCAGGCAAAATGAAATGTGGACCATAACATTGGAGAAAATTATATCCCATAAATTAGGCAGAACGACACATACGAGATGTCCTTAAGAGAGAATTTTTTTACCCCAGGTCTCCTTCTCCAGGAGATACCAAGGCTTGAACCTGAGGCTTTCTATTCTACCACTGACCTACATCTGTCCCCAAAGCATCATTTTATCCCCCCTTTTATTCTTTCAGATGACCCCGATGGACTTCATCAGCTCGATGGGACCCCATTAACAGCTGAGGATATCGTCCAGAAAATTGCCATGAGAATTTACGAAGAAAATGACAGAGGCGTCTTTGACAAAATTGTTTCCAAGCTTCTAAATCTGGGTCTGGTACGTGTTTTGGGCACCTGTTTAATTATACAACCTACTTGATTTTTCTTCCCTACCTCTTGTTTGGGGTTGAGAGACGACATTGAAGAAAATTTTGGAGCGAATGAATTTATTTTTAAACAAATAATGGGGTATTTAACTTATGAGCCGTGGTGGAGCAGTGGTTAGAATGCAGCATTGCAGACTAACTCTGGCAACTGCCAGCAGTTTGATTCTGACCGGCTCAAGGTTGACTCAGCCTTCCATCCTTCCGAGGTCGGTAAAATGAAGATCCAGATTGTTAGGAGCAATAGACTCTAAACTGCAAGTTGCCAATTACTTGAAAGGCATTTTGATTGACAGAGAAGCTCAAAAGGTAGGGGAAAAATAACAAGGATGTGAGAAGTACTTTCTATAAAGTTCTTTCTCGCGTAGCCAAAGCATTGAATTGCCCAAGAATGGAGAAAGAAGGCCAAGGTGTAAGGGAAGGGGAGTTTTAATCAATTACAATGAATCTGTGAATCTTAATTTGCTTTTTGTTTAATTCTGCATTGTGGTTGTTGTTTTTTTAATAAAAATTTCATTGAGCTGAAGATCACTTATACAGAGATAACCATGCAGTTAAAAAGGATTCTTCTTCCATCCCTTCCTTTCTCTTTTCAGATTTCTGGTCTAGCTTCTAGACTTCTGCAAAATAGCGCAGCAGAATAAAAATAAATCAGAGACTACAATAGCAATAGCACTTAACAATAGCACTTAGACTTATATACTGCTTCATAGTGCTTTGTTACAGCCCTCTCTAAGCTGAGTCAGCATCTTGGCCCCCAACAATCTGGCTCCTCATTTTACCCACCTCGAAAGGATGCAAGGCTGAGTCAACCTTGAGCCGGCGAGATTTGAACTGCCAAACTGCAGCTAGCAGTCAGCAGATGGAATTCAATGGATTCAATGTGCATCACTGAATTCAATGGAATTCATCTGGATTCAAATGTGATTTCTTTTTGCCTATCTGTCTCAAAAGCACATACCTGTGGCATGCAGAGCTCACTGAGAGAATCAAAAAGTCATTGTTTCTTCTTTTCCCCCCAGATCACCGAAAGCCAGGCCTACACCCTAGAGGATGAAGTGGCTGAAGCATTGCAGCAGCTGATTGCTAATGAAGCCAAAGATCGGGAAAAGGCCTCTGAGGGTCTTGAGAGTCTCGCAACCAAGAGTAACAGTCAGACCAAAGAGAAGCAGAAAATAAAACCGGTAATACTTCTTCATTACAACCCATTTTTATTGGACAGTTCAATGGCCATGCCTACTTGTCAATCATTCTTTTAGGAAATACACTGCAGCATCTAGGTTGAAGAATGTTTCCATCACTGAGAAACTTACCATTGAATATCCTAAAATAGTTTTGTCTGGGTAGGATCCAATATGGATTGAACAGCCCATATTATACTATAGTTCGATCCTAGCTAGAGGCAGATATATCTGCTGAATAAAACTCAGCATTGGCAATAGGAAGGGCATCCGGCCAGTAAACACTTAGCTCCATTCATTTGCCCAGACTCCATCCCACAAGGGATTATGGAGTCGTTAAAAGACGACGATGATATTATACTGTAGTTTCATGTATAGGATGATCCCAGCCAATTCTATTCCATAGGATGGCTGCAAAATGCTTTTGAATATTCATTTGCAGCGGATAAAAATAATGGAATCTCTATAGATCACTTCCAGTATTTGGTACTTAAAAATTAGATTTTGTTGTGGTCCGCCAGCAGCCTTTGGAGCTGGTAGCAGAGTCAGACAGTGAGGAGGCTGGGGAGGAACATGAGCCAGTCCTGGAGTCTGTGGAAGGCTCGGACGAGGGCTCTGCATCGGCCTCCAGAGTCAGACCTCAGCGAGGCAGAGGAAAAGGAGGAGCCGGTTCCCAGTGCACACATGCGCAGAGCTGCCAAAAGGCAAGAACAGTTAAAACAAAATGGACAACTCGGGAGTAGGGCTTGATTGGCCCCTCCCATAAGACTTAAAGAGGATCAAAGGCACGTGGGCCTTTGCAGGAAGCAACATTGTTAATTCTGTGCAGTTTAAAGTCTGAAGCTCTGTTTGATTCTGGACTCCGTGTGGGTTTGCCAATTAGGTCTTTGGCAGCATGTCAAGGGAGATAGTGGGTGATTATCAGACTTATCCCGAAGGACTATTGTAACTATTTGGGACTCATCTGTGAATGAACAGAATTCACAGCTGTTAAAATAAAACAGGTTTTTGGGACTACTCGTGTGTTTTACTGACTCAGGAAGCCTAGGTGAGAACAGATTTATACATCTAGCTATCATGGCTCTTGAGAGCCAGTTTGGTGTGGTTAAGGCACCAGGCTAGACATCGGGAGGTTGTGAGTTCTAGTCCCACCTTAGGCACAAAGCCAATTGGGTGACCTTAGGCCAGTCACTTTCTTTCAGCCCTATTTTGTATTAATTTATTTAATGCGTTTGGCGAACAGAAGTGGACTAATTCCCTGGTCAGGCGTTTCCTGCTGTGCATTTAGTTGGTATCAAATATTTTGGTTGTGAAATCCAAAGATATGTCGTTCTATTTTTTTTTTTTTTTATGAAGGTGTTAAAAAATACTGATCGAGATGACACCTTGGATAATACCTGGGCACCCACCAACATCTTAGAAAGAAGAAATGATCTGCCCCCAGAGGATCGTTTTCAGGATCTCCAATATTTCCCTAATTTCTATGAACTATTAAAAAGCCTTAACTCAGGTGAGTTTCCTATGGATCGATCATTTCAAATATCAAGAGTTATCCCATGTTTTATTTATTTTTATTTTGGAGTTATAAGCTGCCCATCTCACCATAGCAGCTCTGGGCAGCTTACACATTTAAAAGCAATACAGTGGAATAATAAACAAACATTTGTGAAGTTATATTGTGAAGTTTAAACAAACTGTAATGACTCTAATACTGAGGAATGCATTTGTATCCTTTCAGGCTAATTTGTGTTTCAGTTGTTCAAATTCTTACAAATTGACACAATTCAATTCAAATCTTTATTGTCAGTGCATAACATATGTACAAATGAGATTGGAGGGGCTCCCTCAGTGAACCCCCCCCCAACACAATACAACTCACAGTGAAGATAGAAAATCCCTAACCCAATAAATCATATTAACAAAACACCCAATCCTATTGCACCAGTGTGAATATGTTACACATTGCGTCAGCCCTGCAAGTCCATCGTACTCAGTGGTAAGTTGCTTCCGGTTCACACCGGTTCACAACAACCGGTAGTAAAAAAAATTTAGTAGTTCGGAGAACTGGTAATAACATTGGCTGGCCACCTCATCAGAGGCTTTTTTTTTTTTTTTTACTTTTAAAAGCATTTTTTTTACAACCTCTTCGGTTGAAAAAATGCTTTTAAAACTTTTTTAAAAATCCTCTAATGATCGCACGGCTCAGCTGGGATCTTCAGAGGCTTCTGAAAACATTTTTTTCTGCAACCTCTTCAGCCAAAGAGGTTGTAGGAAAAAAAATCCCTTTAAAAGCTTCTGGCGTTCCCAGCAGATTTGTCTGATCGTCAGAAGCTTCTAAAAGCATTTTTTTCTGTAACTTCTTAAGGTTGTAGAAATAATGCTTTTAAAAGTTAAAAAAAAAAAAAAGTTGGCCATGCCCACTCATTCACATTACACCCCCAAGCCACGCCCACAAAATAAGCCACGTTCACAGAACCGGTAGTAAAAAAATTTAGAACCCACCCCTGATCGTACTATGTAGTTATGATGTTATTTCTCACTCAGGAGTCTTACAACCCACGGATAAAAACAGCCTATTTGTGCAGCTGGCTATACTTCGATATCTCCTTCCCGGTGGTAGGAGGGTAAAGAAGTAATAACCAGGGTGACCAAGTTACTTGCAGAGCTGTGTTTAGGCCAGTGGTCGGTTTCTACTAGTACACCCTGGTTCAGGCAAACCGGTAGTGGGGGTGGCGAGAGGCTCCGCCCACCCGCCCGGATGTCATCACGGATGCTCTGTGCATGTGCAAGCTCCCAATTCCGAACCGGTAGTGAAGCTAAGTGGAATCCTCTACTGGTTCAGGCATCCCGTTTGCTTAACTGTGATTTATGGCCAGCTGCCATAATTTAGGATCACAAAGCACAGGCCTAGATTTACAAAACGCAGCGGCTAATCATGTTCACATAGCTCATTAAACCAAGCCGGAGCAAACAACATGATGATGGCTTAATGTGAAATATGAATCCATTACCTGATTTTTTTTCACTTATTGCTCAGATCGTTAAACGGCGACAGTCTGGGAGAGAAGCAATAAATAAAAGCCCTATAAACCCCCATTAATTTGGAGTGCTTGTTGGAGAAGAAAGGCAGGGTCCAAACGAATAGAAATTAAACAAAAGCTGAGCTATCGCATTCTCATTTCTGTATAGGATCAGTAATCCTCAGCTGTCACGATCTGCATTGGTCCAGAATAGCAAAAATGCACGATCTACTTAGGCAGATTAAGTCATTCAGCATTTTTCAGCAGTACCCATTAATTCAGATTCAGTCTACCTTGTAAATAAGCCCCCTCTCCAGTGGTGGGGATTTAATTTTTTTATTACCGGATCTGTGGGCGTGGCCTGGTGGGCGTGGCCAGGGGGTGTGACAGGCAGCACTCAGCCGCCTGCACCCCTCTGGGAGCAAAAACTGGCCGCGGGGAACGGCGCACCCCCCCCACACCCTATTTTGGGCCTAGGAGGCCTCCCTGAACTTATCTGGGAGTCAAATTGGGGCACATGGGGCCTCCTGGAAGAGGCGGGGCAGGAAGGGGCGGGGCCAGCCAGCAATTTTACTACCAGTTCTCCCAAACTGACCCGAACCGGCTGAATCCCACTACTGACCCTCTCCTGAAAATCAAACTGGCTGAGAGAGAGAAAAAAACATTCTGATCAATAGAGAAGAGTATTTTTTTTTAAGTTAAACGATCACACTACCCTCACTTCCAAGAGACCATGAATCTGTTTACTCTTCACGCAGAGAAAGAAGTGAAAGAAAAGGAAACTCTGATCACAATCATGAAAACGCTAATAGATTTTGTCAAGATGATGGTTAAATACGGCACCATCACCCCAGAGGAAGGTGTTTCGTATCTAGGTAAGAGCATATGAATCATTTTTATAACCCTTTTTCCTCTCATGAATTGCACCAGCTGAGATTTTTTTAATCTCGGGTCTTGTTTCTATCAGAGTGTACTGGCTGTAACTGAAAGATGTATCAAAACGCAACGATTTGATCTCTGAAGTCTTCAGATGAAAGGAATAGGTTTCATAAGACTATTATTATTATCTCTTTTATTCCTTAAACATGAAACTTAGTCAACTGATCATTTGAAAATGTGTCACAAATACGATTGGCTGGTGCTAATGGTTGATACCAGTGGTGGGTTGCTACAGGTTCGCCCCAGATCGGGCGAACTGGTAGCGGCAGTGGTGGGAGGCTCCACCCACCTGCCCGGATGTCTCTGCGCACATGCAGAATTTTCTGCATATGTGCAGAAGCATTGCACATGCGTGCAAGCGAACCGGTAACGACAGGATTTGAATCCCACTACTGGTTGATAAGGGTTGCTGCCAGCGTCCTAGGTATCAACCAAGCACCTTCTTAAAATATATGATGTTCTGAGTACTGCAGTTTTTTGCAATTCCACTGGTGTTATTGCAGGAAGCTGCAATTTCTTGATGTGTTTTGTAAAATTCTTGGACATTGTACCAAGTGCCCCGATGACAATGGGTATCACTGTTACATGTTATTTCATGATTTTTTCCAGTTCTTTTTCTTTGACTCTGGCATCTCCTGGTACGTGATGTCAATAAATGGTACATTCCAGTTTTTGATAACTGATATCTGGCGTGTTATGTCCCAAATGACGATCCGTCTGTATTCGAAAGTCCCACAAGATCTTCACCTTCTCATTTTCTATAACTTTTTCCACTTTATCTTCCCATTATTTACTTTATTCATTAAACATGAAACTCAAGTCAACTGAACGTTCAAAAATGCATCACAAGTACCATTGACTGGTGCTAATGGTTGATATGGGTTGCTATTATTATTTTTATTGTCTCTTTTATTCATTAAACATGAAACTCAGTCAAGTGATCATTTAAAAATGTATCACAAATATCATTTGCTGGTGCTAATGGTTGATACGGGTTGCTGCCAGCATCCTAGGTATCAACCAAGTATCTTCTTAAAATAGATTATTTACTTTATTCATTAAACATGAAACTCAGTCAACTGAACATTCAAAAAGGCATCACAAATACCATTGACTGACAGCTGTCAGAGAGGAAGAAGCTTCTTGGATGAGAAGCGAAATGACTTCAAAAGAAAAAAAAACAAAAAAGTCCAGTTGCCTCCTGAAAAAAGCACCTTCGGGACAACCATGACCTGGATAACTGAGAACCTCTCCAGATGTCAATCACCGAGATTCCTCCTCTAAATGAAAAAACCTTCTACATTTTTTTTTTGACATTTAACATCCCCGAGAAATGAGACACAGCCAGCAAAAGGGAACTCAACCCCATGCTGGGCCACCAGAGTGTGAAGAAGCCCCAGGAAATGACAATTACTGTTTGCGGTCCACTTCCACCCTACTAGTCGGAAATTGCTCCACAGGCAACATTATCTTTTGTCATAAAAGCCGCCAACTGGAGCAGAAAGACCTCTTCTCATAGTGTTTCTCTGTTGCACTATATTTAGCATCTCCGCTGAGAAACAAGCTCTGTGTTTTTTTGACCTTCAAAACCCTGGTCTTCTGGAGCCTTAAGAAATGATGAAATGATGAGCTCAATATAGCCATTAAATGGGGAAAAGGCGATGCTGGTTGAGAGCATTGTCCACCTGTCTTGGACGCCAAACTAACTATCGGCGTGTAAGTTACCAATCAGCTTCAGGATTCTGTAATGTTTGGGGGTGGGTAGGAATCAACCATTCAACCACAACCAGCCCAAACCTCTCCCATCCGCAACCAAACCAGGGGTGAAATCCAGCAGGTTCTGACAGGTTCTGGAGAACCGGTAACGGAAATATTGAACAGTTCGGAGAACCGGCAAATACCATCTCTGGCTGGCTTCAGAGTGGGGCGGGAATGGGGATTTTTCAGTATCCTTCCCCCAGGAGTGGGAAGGGAATGGGGATTTTTCAGTATCTTTCCCCCAAGAGTGGGGTGGGAATGGAGATTATACAGTATCCTTCCCCTGCCATGGCCACCAAGCCACACCATGCCCACCAAACCACGCCCACAGAACCGGTAGTAAAAAAAATTGGATTTCACCGCTGAACCAAACTCATGGATGTCTTCGTTTGCAACCGCATCCAGTAAGCAGTTTTGAAATCAGGACTAGATTTAGAAGCAGCTGCCTTAAAATATCCCCGTTTGCTTTGAATGCTGGAGTTTCCAGCTTAAATTATGGATGCGAAACAATAAATCTTTTACTAGCCAAGTCGTGGGGGTTTTTTTTTTGTTTCTGTTTTAGTTTCTTGCATGATGGTTTGCAAAGGCAGGAAATTTAAAAACGGTGTCTATGCAAAGCTGGAGAGGGATTTGCAAACCTCCTGGCATGATGTCACTTTTTTTTTTTTTTTTTTTTGCATTTTGTGCTAGATTGGTGAAGTGGGAAAGGGAGAGAGGGAAGACTGGCCTGTCACTCAGTAATTGATGTTATTCAGTCTCTGGATGAGCAGTGAAGGACTATGCATTCAAGCCCCCCCCCCCTCTCCCTGGGCACAGGAGGTCATAGATAAAATGGCATTTGTCAGAATCAGCTGATTCTCAATTTCACTTTGTTTTTGTTTCGTTTTTCATTTGGAATCATGGTTTATTTTTTATACCGTGCTTTTTCCACTGAAAGCATTCATATGCATAGGCTACAATTCTTTCCTCATTCTTTTTGTCTTTGGAAGAGCTCTCTCGCTTGATGCATTTGGTGGGGCAGAGTGAGGGATATACATCCTCCTCAATCTATCAAGTAGTCATGCAAGGAACGGAGAAAGAAAAAAAAAAAACCTGATTACTAAAAGTATTATTGTGTTTTTGTCCATGATTTAAGCTGGAAGCCCTAGACTCAAAGCAAGCAAGGATATTTTAAGGCAGCTGCCCTCCATCCAGATGTAATCTTTTTTTTTTTTTTAATGCTCGCTGGATGTAGATCCAAATAAAGGCATTCATGTATTTTGCTGCAGATGAAGAAAATATATCATAAAAAACCCACTGTTCCGCAAGTGTACTCATTTTTGATTTTCTCAGCAGCTGAATGCCAAGAAAGACGTGGAGAAACAAAAGAATTCCGTACACTTTGTACTACTTTCTCAGAAATACGTTGCGAGGGCAAATCTCCTCTTGAGATTTCAGCCCGTGACATATGCTTCAATTATTTTAGCTGCAGGAGGGAAAAAGAAAGGGCCTGAATTGTTTCAAAGATTTCTGCAACCATGTTTGTGAATTGCGTGCGTGCGTGCAGGATGTGTATGTGGGGCAGATACCAGCATGCAGAGAAAGGTGGAAACGTCTGGTAAAAAAAGGATAGGAATATTTCCATTCATATTCCCGATGATTCTTTCTGATCCTCACATTACAGGGTAGGAAAATTGTTCCTGGAAATTATGAAATTCCCTCATCTGGGTCCAAAACTTCTTTCTTGCAGAGTTGCTTCCTTCCAGCTTTGCACAGTGGGTATATTATTTCTGGCTGTAATAATTGCTGCTTATTAGTAAGCAATTAAAACAGTAAGAATGCTTGGAGTTAACTATCTTCCACTGTGAGTCCATGGGTGGAATGCCATTCGCCGTCGCACTGTCAGCCTTAATCTCCACATTCACACCTTCCTCCATCACTTGTGACTCAGCCATCACATTCTTGGGCCTTCCTGCCAGTGAGTTTGGACACGTTTTGATGAGGAGGGACACGAACAGATGCTACTCGGCATCTCATCTTCCCCCATGTTTTGCTCTTCTTTACCAAGGTGAGCAAATCTCGCCTCCTACGTACCCTTGAGGGTAATGTGGAGAGCCATATGCCAGTTGCCGGCGGGCAAGGTTGAAATAAAGGCAAGGAGGAGGCAACGCCAAAAGAAGGGAGTCAGTCCCCCATTCTATTTTTGCCGTCCCTGTCCCTCCATTCCCTTCTGACACCCAATCTCTCTCGTTTGGTCCATGGAGTTGGTTGCCAGTATTACAGAGTTCTGAATTAAAGATAAAGGTTTCCCTGCCCGTTGAGTCCAACTCTAGGGCACATTGCTCATCTCCGTTTCTTGGCCGAGGGAGCCAGGATTGTCCAAAGACAATTTTCATGGCCAGTATGGTTGTACGCTAAAAGCACATGGAATGCTGTTACCCTCCCACCGAAGTGGTACCTATTTGTCTACTTTCATTTGCATGCTTTTGAACTGGTAGGTGGCCAGGAGTTGGGGCAAGGAACGGGAGCTCATCCCATTGTGTGAGGATTAATTCTGAATGAATCATTTGCAAAGAAAGAAAGCTCTGAGGCTTGGATTTCCTCAAAGTTATTTTTTATTAGAGATGTCATATTGGCACATCTGGGAAAACCCGAATCTGAAAGCTTCCAGGTTTTCCCCACCCAAGTGAAAGTTCAAGTCCCTGGCCAGCACTTTCATGTCCATCACATGGTCCAATCCTCCACTGTCCGAACTGAAGACACCTCCCAGTCATCTGACTCCAGGTGCCAGGGCACTGCGTCCTTGACTTTCTGAGAAAGGAATGTTATTTTGACTACATATCATCTACACTCTATACAATCCCCCCTCCCATTTTCCCATAGAAGAAGACAAACATAAAAGATGACTTCTAGGTCTGACATCCTATTTGTCAAGTTAAGGAATAGCCTTATCTCAAAGTGATCCAGAGAAGAATAGAACTAGATTACAGTTTATGGCATCATTGTTTCTGGTCTACTACTCTAGGAGTAGGCAGCGACATAGACTTCAGCAAGAGATGAGTTATGGACGGCAGGATTTACATTTTATTTTTATAAGAAATAAATGTAGTTGTACTAAAACATTCCGGGATCAGCTGTTGGTTTGAGTGAACGGAATCAAAATGTGCTTGTTTGCTGTTCCCAGTGGTGTTTTAGAAAATGATGATCTATTATTTTAATAATTCATCGATGCATGTTTTGATGTCTGGACTCTACCATACTTTAATTCGCCCCTTCTTCTGGAACAACTTGTTCTCATGCATAAGAATTGCCTCCCCTCTAATTAGTTTCTGTAAAGAAATAAAAAAAATTGCTCTGGGAAAGAGGTTTTGTGGGGAGGGTATTAGATGTTGTTATCTATCCTTTCAGTGTCGTATAATGTTTATCGCTTGTGATGGTTCAGTTGTTTATAATCCCCTTGGGGAGTTGTGTATGTTGTTGTGTGCTGTAAGAAGCCACGTGGCCATACAAACACTAGTAATAAATAATTCTGTAAATATTCCTGAGTTGCCAAATTAGGTAGATGAGGGATGAGTCAAGAGAATAGACTTCTTACCATCATCATAATTACAATAATTCATCCTTGGATAGGTAGCTCTTTAGGGTAGGGTGGGGTGGGGATATTAGGTGTTTTTTTTCCCCTGTGCAGATGACTGAATTCCACAGAAACTGCAGTTTTGTTTCTAAATTACAGCAGAGGTGGGTTTCAGCAGGTTCTGACCAGTTCTGGAGAACCGGTAGCGGAAATTTTGAGTAGTTCAGAGAACCGGTAGTAAGAGAACCCATCTATTCTCTGCCTCCCAAGTACCAGCTGATCAGGAGGAAATGGGGATTTTGCAGTAACCTTTCCCTGGAGTGGGGAGGGAATGGAGATTTTACAGTATCCTTCCCCTGCCACGCCCACCAAGCCATGCCACGCCCACCAAGCCACGCCCACAGAACCGGTAGTAAAAAAAATTTGAAACCCACCACTGAATTACAGTGACAAGTGAGCAAGATTTAAACTTCCTTCTTTGGGTCCATTTACTTGGAAGGAGTGCGCTATTTCTGAACAGAGATAAACAAGACTGTTGCTGTTTCTCCTTTTTAATAGCTGCCATTCAGGGAAGAGAAATATATTGTTATTGTTATTTTTCGGTTAAAGCTATCATCCCTCAGAAGGATGAGCACATTCCACTTTTTTTTTTTTTTTAATTTGATTTATATGCCGCCCTTCTCCGGAGACTCAGGGCGGCTTACAATGCGTTAAGCAATAGCCTTCATACTTTTGTATATTTTATACAAAGTCAGCTTATTGCCCCCACAATCTGGGTCCTCATTTTACCTACCTTAGAAAGGATGGAAGGCTGAGTCAACCTTGAGCCTGGCGAGATTTGAACTTGCAGTAATTGCAGGCAGCTGATGTTAATCACAGTGCTTTAGTCTGCTACGCTACCAGGGCTCACTTAAAATCAGGCATATTCCAGATAGTGGGATTTACTTCCAAGAGAACCAGAGAAAGCCAGACGATAGCAGTCATCCAATATTCGAGGGGCTGGCACAAAAAAAGAGTGTTTCAAGCTATTCTCCAAAGCACTTGAAGGCAGGACAAGAAGCAATGGGTGGAAACTAATCAAGGAGAGAAGCAACTTAGAACTAAGGAGGAATTTCCTGACAGTTAGAACAAATTAATCAGTGGAACGACTTGCCTCCAGAAGTTGTGAATGCTCCAACACTGGAGGTTTTTAAGAAGAGGTTGGATAACCATTTGTCTGGAATGGTATAGGGCAGGGGTCTGGATCTGGCCCACGGGGCTCCCCTGGAAACAGCAAAAGACTGGCCCGCGGTGCCTCTGCCAGCAAAAACGGAGCTCGGGAAGGCCGTGGGCAGCATACCCAAGCTCCGTTTTCGCTGGCACAGGGCTGCAGGAGGCCTTCGCAGCCGAAAACAGAGCTCGGGAGCCTGTTTTCCCTGTCAGAGCGCTCGGGCCGCCACAGGCGCCCCCGACATGAGTGACGTCGAGCTGGCCATGCCCACCCTGACCATGCCCCCCATCCCCCCCCAAGGTCAAACACAACCCTGATGCGGCCCTCAATGAAATCGAGTTTGGTATAGGGTCTCCTGCCCAAGCAGGGAGTTGGACTAGAAGACCTCCAAGGTCCCTTCCAACTCTGTTAAGCTGGCTTCACTATCAACTATATAGATGTTTATTTATTTATTTATTTATAATAAATAAATAAATAAATAAATTATTAGATTTATATACCGCCCTACTCCCGAAGGACTCAGGGCAGTGAACAGCCAAAGAATAAAAACACATAGATTATAAAATTTAAAAAACAGTATAAAACCACATTAAATAATTTGGCCCGGAACAAATTAAAAACATAATAAATAATAAATAAATTATTATTATTTAAATAATAAACAAACAAACAAACAAACAAACAAACAATAAGATGACTTGGGGAAGATATTACCAGCGGTGGCAGCATTTTAATTAACGGTATTAAAAAAAAAAATAGGCTTGGTGGGTGAAAGGTCCATGAGTTCAGTTTCTTATTCAGTTTTTTTTTTTTTTAAAGTTACCAAAGCAACCAGCCTAGCGGTGACATCTGATCTTATAAAAGCCCCACTAGGACAAACGGTTGCTTAGCTACTGCCCTGGGGAGTGACATTTAATGACTTAGAGTAATTAGAGTAATTGAAGTAATTCTGGGCATGCAACATATCCAAACTGCAGCTACGGGATACCTACCAGAGGTGGGTTTCAGCAGGTTCTGACCAGTTCTGGAGAACCGGTAGCGGAAATTTTGAGTAGTTCGGAGAACCCGTAGTAAAAATTCTGACTGGCCCCCACCCCTATCTATACTCTGCCTCCCGAGTCCCAGCTGATGCTTGGTGCTTGTACGTTTTAAACACATCCTAGTTTTGATGGATGAAGAACTTAACAATGCTGTGCAGGTCGTCCTCGACTTACGACCACAACTGAGCCCAAAATATCTGTCGTTAAGTGAGACATTTGTTAAGTGAGTTTTGCCCCATTTTATGACCTTTCTTGCCTCAGCTGTTAAGTGAATCACTGCAGTCGATAAGTCAGTAACAAGGTTATTAAGTGAATCTGGCTTCCCCACATTCCCACGTGATCATAGGGATGCTACAAAGGTCATAAGTGTGAAAAATGGCCATAAAGTCATTTTTTTCCAGTGTCATCGTAACTTTGAACGGTCACTAAATGAACTGTTGTAAGTTAAGGAGTACCTGTACCATGGCAATCAAATGAAGAAGTCTACACCGGCATGCCTGGGACAATGGGACAATGAATATAGACTTCCTTCCTAAACTAATTATCCTTGATGGCCACAGCAGAGCTATTTGCAGTCTATATATAGATTTTTTATTTCTGTCTGCACAGTATATTTAACAGGGTTAGGCGTTATTGAGTCAGTTAATTAACTCCTAGAATTAATCCAGAGTAGAGAAGGTTTAACTCTTGTCGGTCCCCATCAATGTTAGGGGGCCAGTTATTGGAGAGTTAATTGTCCCTTCCTGGTTCCTGAAACGACTTAGATGAGGGAAGAGACTCGAAGACCAGGTGGCCGGCAAGAGTCAGGTAGTGCATTCCAGGCATTGACCACTCTGTTGCTGAAGTCGTATTTTCTGCAATCTAGTTTGGAGCGGTTCACTTTAAGTTTGCATCTATTGTGTGTTCTTGTGTTGTTGTGGTTGAAGCTGAAGTAGTCATTGACAGGTAGGACATTGTAGCAGATAATTTTATGAGCTACGCTTAGGTCAGACGGCGTAGTTCTAAATTTTCTAAGCCCAGAATTTCAAGTCTGGTGGCATAAGGTATTTTGTTGCGAGCAGAGGAGTGGAGGACTCTTCTTGTGAAATATTTCTGGACACGTTCAATTGTATTAATGTCCAATATGCAGTGCGGGTTCCAGACAGATGAGCTGTATTCAAGAATTGGTCTAGCAAATGTTTTGTATGCTCTGGTTAATAGTGTGATATTACCGGAGAAGAAGCTACGCAAGATTAGGTTTACTGCTCTTAATGCCTTTTTGGCGATGTTGTTACAGTGGGCTTTGGCGCTTAGATCATTAGATATGAGTACTTCAAGGTCCTTTGTTGTTTACAAAATTATAGAAGGTGCGGTTGGATTTTGTGCGCAGGAGGTCCTCTTCTTGTTTGGTGTGGTAATTGGTGCTTTCAGTCTTTATTTGGTGGCATATAGTTTTGTAGCGGCTTTTAAAGTTAGCTACATAGCCAGTTTTGTTTTTTCGCCAGAGGGATTTTTTGTGGGGGGGGGATTGGAGCTTTCTTATTGATATTTCTTATTTTCAGAAATGGTTTAAGGTCTCCATCTTGGGTGGGAGGTTGGACTAGATGACCTATAAGATCCCTTCCAACTCTGTTAATCTGTAATCTGTAATAATCCAACAGTGCTTGATTCTACACAGGAGCTCAAGAATGAGTATTTTTATGTTTTTTCTGCCTTCCAGAAAATCTAGATGCCATGATTGCCCTGCAGACAAGAAAGAAACTTGAAAAATCCAGTTCCCAGAACAAGCTATCAGGTATAATTTTGTGATTAACATGTCATTGCATCATTTTTCCAGTTAGTTTTTCCTGTGGACTTACCCTGAATTATAATTTGGCAGTTGTTTGAATTGATTTAAATAGCAATCAAAACAGCAAACCTATTTAGACTCTAGTTTTGCCACAACCCTTACAGCATCCAACGTTCTTTATATGCCCAACTGTCTGTGGGAATGTGCTACGGGTTCAGACGATGTAAAAATTGTTCCTCTTGCGATCCCTGCAGACAAGAGCATCGAGGAAGCCGACAGCACAAAAACAGGCACAGCCGAAATGGAAAAAGAATACGAAGCCTTGAAAGATTCCACAAAAGCCGAGGAAGAAAATGCAGGAAACAATGAAGAACCCAAAGGTAAGTAGTTGAATGTGTATGTAAGATTGCAATAGTATTTAGACTTATATGCCGCTTTATAGTGCTTTACAGCCCTTTCTAAGTGGTTTATAGAGTTAGCACGTTGCCCCCAAACAATCCTGGTCCCAGAGGTTCTGACTCTGGAAATTCTCAGGCCCAGCTGTGGCTGGTAAATGAGGAGTACGTGTAAATTAAATGTTAAATAACAATATTTTTATTCAGACCTTGCGTACCCTTTGGAAAGTAGATGACAATATTCCATCCAAAGTATAATTGTAGCCTTTGACTCTAAAAGCTTCTTGGATGAGAAGTTTTGGGATAGCCATGACCTGGATGGCTGAGAATCTCCAGAGATATAAGAGCCTTTCGTTGTTTTATTCTCTCTACAATAGACCAGATTTATCCCCTGAAGAATATTTTAACTCCTGGTATTTAATTCAGCTTTTTTTCATGTTACCTTTGAAGGAAAAGCCGAGGCCTATTTGGAAGCCATCCGAAAGAATATAGAGTGGCTGAAGAAACATAACACACAGGGAAAGAAAGATGGTAAGATTGGAAAAGTGGACTGTGGTATGGACAGGACTAATCCTGAGAATATATTTTTGAATTCTGCTAAATAAAAAGCTTGATCATGTAGTCTTTGAGAAGATGGAATATATGGAAAGACATACAGACAGTGGTGGGATTCAAGTAATTTAATAACCGGTTCTCTGCCCTAATGATTTCTTCCAACAACCAGTTTGCCAAATTGCTCAGAAAGTTAACAACTGGTTCTCCCGAAGTGGTGCGAATTGGCTGAATCCCACCACTGCATACAGATGGATATATATATATAGGTATGGAAGATATACTGATTTTAAATTGACAAGTTTTAAATTACGGGCCAAATTTATTAATTATTTTAAATCTATTTTTAATTGTAATGTTATGTATAAATGTTTTTATTTTGGCTGTTCACCGCCCTGAGTCTGAAAGGAGAAGGGCGGTATGGAAGTTTGAATAATAAAAATAAAATAAATAAATATAGATGGGCATAGATGGGAAGTGATATTGGTTCTCTAACATTTTCTACAGAATTTATCAGCAATTGGTATTGGGCTTTGCTTATTATTAACGAGCACAGGACCATTAAATGTATCCACCCAATTCATAATATGCAGAATGGCAAAAAATGTCCATTTGGAAGAATGGATTAACTTAACAACTGCATGGTTCCCTTAACAACTATGTGATTCCCTGAACTATTGCAATGACTCACTTTATGACTGTCATAAAAACAGTCGTTCCCCCCCCCCAACAACTATGTCTTATGATGGAAATTCTGGTTGCGATTGTTCAAGTGGGGAGTACGTGTAAATTGTTAAATAACAGGTAATTGTCCAGAGCTTGCTTTCTCCTTTGGAACGTAGATGAGAATATTCCATTCAAAAGAGAATGGCAGCTTTCGAGTCCAAAAATATTGGAAGTTCCTTCTAGAGGGAAACTGATTTATAGATAGATAGATAGATAGATAGATAATAGGATTAATTAGGATAGATAGATAGATAGATAGATAGATAGATAGATAGATAGATAGATAGATAGGATTAGATTAATTAGAATAGATAGATAGATAGATAGATAGATAGATAGATAGATAGATAGATAGATAGATAGATAGTCTTTCAAGGAGAACCTGCCTATATAAATCCTTTCCCCTAAACTCCACTGAAGATGTTACCTAGCTTGGTAACGAAACGTTCGGAAACTCAACCCACAAGCTCGGAGAAGGAAGCTTCACACTCCCCCGTAATCCTTTCTATTTCAGATTACGATCTTTCTAAACTGCGTGATTTCATAGACCAACAAGCCGATGTTTACGTGGACAAGGGCATCCTGGATAAAGAAGAGGCAGAGGTAATTAAGCGTATCTACGGCAGCCTGTAGAGAAAAAGGAAACCTCCTGAAGACTGTATGGAATTCTAGTCTAGCTTCTCCACCCACATCTAGTTCTACGACCTACAAGTTTGTTTCTCCCCACATCATCCCAGGAAAAAGAGGTGATTAGAAAGTATTCTGTCTCCATTGTACTGAATTTTATCCAGGTTTAAAAAAAACAAAAAACCAACCACCACACCCTATAATTGCATATTTGTTTCTTCTCAACTTTGATTGCCCCCCCCCACTTTAAAGTAAACGAGCTGCCCACTTTATAGCTAACAGGGTAAAACAGCTGCTTACATCATTGTCCCCGTTAATTTATCCAGCTGAATAATTTATTCAGATAATATGCTTTGGAAAAAAGAGCCAGTTTGTTTCATCGTGAAATGGCTTTTAAAAGATACTGTTCTGGGGAAAAAATATATATATATGATAAAGGGCATTACTAGGGGCAACCCAAATGAATTAACTCAGTTTAGCTCAATTTTGCATTTCTTGCGAAGAAATCTCACCTTTGCAATTCTCTTTTGTGGCACCTCTTCTGTTTTGTGTCCCAGAAAGTATTGTTGGAATGCTGTAATATATTCATTTTCTTGCTGTTTGCGCATTCCGCTCTGTTCTCCCCACGCCCCCCTCCCAATCCGTGTGCCATCGAGTCATGGCTGTGTGTTTAACCCTGCCTCGGCCTTCAAAATAAATCTTTTAACAGGGAGAAAAAAAACTGTATTGTCACCGTATTGCTACGGTCAGGTACAGTAGCAACGGTTGTCCTTCACATCCTCCATCGTTCTTGGTTAAGTGTTATTTCTCTGCATGTATAAAGAACAGTTCTTGATGTGAGTAGCTTAATATGTGAATAACCATTTCTAAGGGTAAAAAAGGAGGTGAAGCAAGGTCCTTGAGCTTTAGAGGTGTGCTTAGGATCAGACATTTATCTATATAGGACGAGTGATATGCTAGGATTGAGGGAATGCAGTATCGTTTAGCAACCCCAGGTTTCATAAATGTCTAGTTTTTGTAAACTTTCGGTTTAGCCTGAATTTACACTGAAGATCCATGCTCCTTTTCTATTTAAAGAGGTATGCGTTTACACATTTTATTTTATTTTAACTAAGGCACTATTGGGTTAAAGCAACATGCTAAGCCATAAGTCACAATCCACAATGCTGGTTTAGTTTGATCAACCACGGTTTGTGGATTAAGCCGTAATTGGATGGGCTTCATACAGTGCAGCGAGGCATAAATCACAGTTCAAAAATTAGAATGGCTACGTTCACAGAATATTGCATCCCCTCCATAGTAAATGTTGCTTGCACATTGAATAATTCTTGAGAAAAGTATATCCTGCATTTAAGTTCTCATTCTGAATGTGACATGAGGAGACTTCTGTTTGTCTTGTAATAATCAATTTATTTTTCTTTTGAGATTACAAATTTATGAACAGTAACATGCAGTGAGCATTCCAGTCAGAAGATGGGCTGATTCTGCTTAATTTCTCCATTAACAATAATTGGAAATAGATTTTCTGGTGCTAAGCAGTGCAGTTGTAAAGCATGACGTCAGGTGACTGCACTGCTTAGTGACAACAGTTATGGTAGTTCTCAGTTACCGTCATTAAGTGAAGACCATGGTCACCTAGCAAGGTCTTCTCATGACTACGATGTCTGAGATCCTGTGGCTTCCCCACTGATTTTGTTTGTGGGAAGCCGACAGGAGATCGCAAATTGTGATAATGTCACACGGGATACTGCCACAATCACGATTATTGGCGCATGCATTGGGCAGAACTTCGAGGACTGGTTATAAGCTCAACATTGTTACAAGTTGAAATGGTCACTGAGTGAGTGGCCATTCAATGAGGACCACCTATATGTTTACTTATTTTCTTTTTTCCCCATAAACTGCCCTGATAAGTTGCAGCGATAAAATGGTTTAGAAGCAATTCGGACTACAACTAGCAAATGCAAAATAAATTTTGAATAAATAAATCTTCACTGTCCCGCTGGAAGTTGACACTGACAAAGCTATGTATTATGGGGGAGAATCCCCCCAAATATGAGGGGGTATATAAGCCATGAAGACTGACTTTCATTGGCTGAGACTAGTGGAACAGCCCCATGTCTTCTGTTGCAATATCATGGCAGAAAAGTTGAATAAGGAGGCAAGACCGGTGCTGAAATTCAGTTACAATTGCCAGCCTCCTTCATAAATGGATGTTTTAGATAGAAGTATTTGGTTAATTTTTTGTGCAGCTTCTAACTCAGAAAACATCCTTTTAGCACCATCTGGATAATAAAAGCTCTAAAAGAGAATCTTAATGTACTCTGCAGACATACTAGTCTCGTATTCCTCAGTACATTTTAAACAGTCATTAAAAGAATTTGCATTTATATGAGATGGGAAAGAGTACAGCAGAGAAATTAAGAATGCAGCCCAAAGCGTATTTACTCAACAGGGAATATTACTTCTTCTGAATGGACATGCACTCGCTTAAACTTTGAAACAGGATAAAAACATGGGTGTCGATGATTTATAAATCTGTTGTTCAAGTGACAGCCTACATACATAATCCGCGGGTTACAAATGGTGATCCCAGAATGCAATTGTCATAAACACATGCCAGTTGTCAAGTTGCCGAATTTTGATCACATGACCACGGGGGATGCTGCAACGGTTAAGCGTGAAAAATGATCACAAGTCACTTTATAGTATAATTCAGCGCTGAATAGTTATAAGTTGAGGATTACCTGTAATTAAATAGACCTAAGGACAATTGACAGATGATCAGTCCTAAGGCTAGTGAATTTTTAAGGGTTTTTTAAACTGTGTTATAATTCAGATTCAATGCCATGTTTTTCATACCAGTGTATTATTTATGTCGATTTTCCCCTGCTGGGAATTGAGGACTGACTGCTAGCATACTATGGGACATACTACCGGTTACAGCATTTGGTAACATCATATGATAAAAGCAACCAGAAAACAACAACCTTGTGCATCACCCTCCTGGCCATGGCGTGTACAGAATGGAGCGATCAGTTTTTAAAAGCAGTGCAAGCAATGCAGTAACATAGTATTTAAAGGTATAATGCAGACTTGATATTTTTGCCATTTTAGCATATAAAACCGATTGCTAGACACATTTGTTATTATCTCTATCCCAGCAGTGGGAAATAAAAGTATCCTGCACTTCCCTAGTTCTAATCTCACCAATCCTTTTTAAATAACCTTAACATCTTTTAGATGCTCTTTACACCTTTTTACCTTTAAAAAAAAACATTGTTGGGAAAAATGTAACAAATTATCACATATATTGCATTCAAAATACACTTTTCTAATAGAATCCTGTTTCTGATACTGTACTTTATTAAATGCTTTGCTACAAGACAAAGTAATGCAGATTCTTGGTTTTGTCTTCATGTGGTACCACTTTAAATTATTACTTTAAAAATAATAAACTGGGGATCTTACTACTGAAGTTTACAGAAACGCACCTAGCAAGAAATGTTGTTGCAATGCAAAATGTACTGAACATTTTCAAGGTGAGTTATGATTAAATACTGCTAAGAACAGAAATAGAACACATAGAATTAGAAAAATGTGTTTTAAGAGTCTGTTTCTGTAAAATAATAGTTGAAAATGACATTTCCCCAATTGACAGATTTGTCACTTATAAATTCACTGTATTCCCAATACAATTCTACATATAGATGTCTTTAAACCAGAGATCGGACAAGTTATGATCATTCTTACATTGAGATTCAAAATAGTTTCCTTCAAACATCAAAATGCTTAAATGATACTTTAAAGTGTATCAATGGCTCTTCTTTCAAAATAGCTAAAGATAGAAAGCTGACAGTAAATCTACAGGATGAACTTGAAAGTTTCAGCCCATTGGAAAACACACTTCACTGTTTGAATAAAAGGAGAAATAATTAAACAGGAAATGTGTCATAGGCCAAGTTTCATTTGATGTTTAAAGTAAAGCCAGAGAATACAGTATTTGCTAGAGTATTTTTAGATTGCCAGTCTACAAAAACTACATTGCTTTATATAGCTTCAATCAACTATTCATCAGTTTTTCTAACAATGGACATCAAAATTTCTGGAGATAGATTTCTTTCAGTATCCATTTTATTTATTTCTTTTGAGGGTTTCTTCAAGTCTAAAATAAAAAGCTCCAGTTTTATTTGCACACAACAGTTTTTTCTTTAAACAAGTTATATAAGACTGGTTTTAGACTGAACAGTTCCACTCAAGTATGCAATAAATTGTTCTCATTACCAAAACAGGATGAAGTTATACATCCTGTGATCTTGTCTTCCTCAGATGGAATATTAATATTCCCCTTCTGAGAATTACAAGACACATACTGACAAATTGTATTCAAACTATTCTGATTTCAAATAAAGATAATATAGTTGGAAAAAGGAGCAAAGACACTATAACTTAAGAAATTTTAATATAGCATATGAAACAAATCATATCTGAAATGTACAATAGTTGCAAAGCATCAGATACGCCAAACAACAAAGGCAGTAACTCTTTAAAGTGCATTTTATATTCAATACATGAAACTATGTATATGTACTAACAAGAAAATATGTTCCACCTTTTCACAAAGAAAAAAATACTATTTACTCTGCTTGGTCCCTTATTTTCCAAACAAAATAATTTACCATACATATTTTAAAAGCCCAACTTTTTCCCTAAAGTTGGCTAAAACTGATTCACTTTAAGAGCATTGTCTTTATATATGTTAACACAGAGACACATACAGATGTGCATAAACATACAACTTAATCATGGTGCATCCATCAGCATCAAGTTCACAAAATTTGCATTACAAACATATCTGAGTCAAGACTTCACAGGACTTTTTTTTAAAATAAATGATTGTTCCTTTAATATTATCTTATATATATATATATATATGTATACAAAAACAAAAAAATCTGCATTGAAGTTCTCTTAGGAATATATTGTTGCTAGTGTGCCATTTTTAGCAGAAATATAAAGGCAATATTTGGAGAAGCACTTCCTTTATTAATGAATAGTAAAAGAATATTGACCTATAGAGGGTAAACAGTCAAATACCGTACTTTTAGAGCAACAGTCAGTGGAATTTTTATATATGATTTGTAACAAGTACAATATATCAATCCAAAAGGTCTTCTGAATCTTCAAATATTTAGTTCTTTAAGAACTGCTTTCATTCCAGCTCTTTATTCATTTTCTACTGCTGATAGGAAGAAATTGCATAGGAATTTTCCTCACCATATTCCCTGTTGAGGAAAAAAGGAAACTTATGAAAATATGCCGAGTTATTTATAATTTACTCCTCAGAAGTTTATCCAATTTTAATAGGATTATTTCAAATTAAGCCATTTGAAGACTGCTGCAGAAATGTTATTCTTCTGAGCAGCAAATGTATCATGCAAAAACTTTAAAGCAAGTGAGAAAACTTGTAATGTGTTGTTATTAGATAGCTGTCCTTGACATTCTGTTGCACCATCTCCCTTCTCTCCACTCTGCCCTCATCTCTTCTGGATTAAGCCTTCAGTAATTTAATTAGAAATATTCTTGGTCCAGCTCTAGGTCTGCAGTCTCCTGTGTATCTAATAAATTCCCTTCTATTTATTTCTACCAGATTGATTTGGGGTGTGTCATATATGTGTGTCTCTGTGTACACACACATACACCTAAAATTTCCCTAATCAATTCAATATGGAAAGACAAGGTAATTCTAGACACAGTCCAAACTTTTGCTTTAGCATCATTTGCAATTATGCTATTGGAAATTAAGTAGCTGTCTTAAAAACAGTTTTATATAGTATTTTCTATTACTACTACTATTTGTTATATTACCATCTATTAAAATTTCTCAGCAGTTTAAAATAAAAACATATTTTAGATAAAGATGTGGATAATAATAATATTTTACCCGTTATCTTCAGATTTTAATTTCTTAGCTGCTTGTTTGGATAATTTAATCCGCACATCCATTCTATGCAGAAAATCTTTGGCAGAGAGTTCTTCAGGTGGGGGAGGAAGTTGATTGTCAGATTCTTGAGGACTGGGGGAAGAGTTGTCTTCCTGAACTGTCATGGGACTTTCTTCACAAGAAGTGGGATTGTCAGTATCATCCTCTGGAGACTCCAGTGAGTTACATCCATTAAACAGCAAAGCCTTTTCCAGTATAACTGGGATATTTAATGTTTTTCTAAGAAATATGCAGTCATTTGTAAAAAGTTTATTTGCTCTTTTTATTTGCTCCATCTGAAACAGAAAGTTATATTTACAATCCAAGTGAAGCAAGTATTAAAATAGCCTGCAGCTACCTATTACATAAATTTATTTCTGAAGATGTATTTTAATGCAATTAATTTTGGCTATCCTTCCAATTGGGGACTGGTATTGTCACAATTGCAATACCAGATCTTTTGTTCAGACATATGAGGCAAAAGTTGGGAGGAAAAACCCTTTGGAAAGTAATTTACACCTCTAACTGAACAAATTAATAATGGAAACTAAATTTCTTCCTTTGAACTTTTATAGCAAGGATTAATGCTTCTGTTCTTGATGTCATTTTCATACATTAACTATAAATATAATAACAAATGTTTCCTCAGGCATTTGTTTTGACAAAGAACTAGCAACCTGATGTTCTAGTTGCTATTCTTTGCAGTTTAATAAATAATGTACCTAAAGCTATTATGTAACTAAAACGTTTACACTTTCTCCCCATAACCTCATGTTAAAGACTACTTTTCTATGTTCATTCAGCAATTTAATGATTGAACAGCATAAGGTTTAGACTTTAGAAGAATCTTATAAACTCTCACACTTTTTCCCCAGAAACTTTTTAATTTAGATTTGGCATTATAGACCTATTACAATACTCTCACAGGCCAACATTTGAAACCAACTATAATAAAAGTATTTACCTACCAGGATTACAAACTGTTTTAGTCTTAAATATTGATCTACAGTCTCTACTGAAAACTGTTTCAATTTTGAGGGATTGTGTATTCAATGTAGTTAAAGGAATGTGTCTCAGAATGAGCATGTATACCTAAGTTGACTTTGAATTCATGTTCCAGCAATACAAACACACTTCAACCTTTTCTCATTAATGGTGATTTATTACAAATCTTGATTGTGCCAACATTGCTATTCAACAAATCCAACCATCATTTCAGTTTGGCAATCTATTAAATGATTTATATTCAAAACACCACAGCTTAAAGAGGACAGGAAAGAATAGCAACTCTATAATGCACACTTTTTGTTCAAAGACTGACTTTCATTTTCACCCTTCAAACTTTCCTATCAGAGGCTCAGTCACCCTTAAAGGAACATTCCAGATTTAAGTCTCTGTTAGAAACTCCACCACATCCAGAATGTGTGATGCACTCACTGCAGTAACTCTACAGTTGCAGTCAACATCTGATGCCCTCCAAATCCCCTTTCCTATGAAAGGGCTGTTTGTCTGAAACTTGCTACCCGTTCCCTGCACACAGGCTAAGATGCATCCCCTTAATAATAGCCATATTGGCCTCAGATGTGGTTTACAATGAGGAGAAAAGCAAAAGTATGTAAAGTGCCTTGACTCAAAGAGACACGCCAGGTCGGTTGCAACTATTCCAGTTGGAAAGCACTCTGCACGAGGACAGAAGCGCTCTCCTCCTCCTCCAGCAAACTCTTCCATATTTTTGAGAAGCGGGAAAAAAAAGAAACATGCAGTTTTTCACCCAGAAACTTTCCAATCTGAGACTGACCGAGTCTAGTCGGAATTACTGGACTGGAGCCTCCAGAAAAGTTCTTATTCTCTTGTTTCAGCTGCTGAGTCCCAGTCCCAAAGGAGGGTGAATAACGGTGCCACCAAACAGTACACATTCCTGTGGAAGGGAACCCCCTGCCCATGCTCATGGAGGGGTCCCTTTTCCCATTTTCATGGACGAGGGGCTCCCTATGTCCTTGCTCCTGTTGGGGTTGCCCTCTGCACATGCTGAGGGAGGGTCCCCTCTGCCCTTGTTTGTGAAGGGGGGACTCTGTGCCCTCTCTCATGGAGGGGGGTCCTTTTGCCCATACTGGCAGGGGGGGGCTCTTTGTGTCCTTCTTTGTGTTGGCGGTGGAATGATCTTTGCCTGTACTGGTGGAGGGAAAGAAGAGTGCCTTGTACCCTTGCTCATGGAAGGAAGATCCTCTGCCTTCTCTCCTGGAGAGGGGCTGCCCTTTGGCTATGCTCAGAGGGTAGGTGGCCTTGTGTTGGAGGTGCCCTCTGTCCGTGCTGGTGGAGGGAGGGGGGTCCCATGCCCTTGCCTATGGAAGGGGGACCCTGTGCCCTTCCTCCTGTTGGGGGTGGTGAGCTCTGCCCATACTGGTGGAGGGAGTTTAATTTAGTTTACTTTATTGTCATTGCACATGGTACAAGGAAATTAAATGCCATCTTCAGTGTACATTATAACTATAAAAAAAAAACAACACAAACATACATCCTTTACATTCTATATAATTGAAATTGAAAACCCAATATTGCACTATACCGTAGAATTCAATATGGTTATTGCCCTGGGATAGAAGCTGTTTTTCAGCCTATTTGTCCTTATTTTTATTGACCTGTACCTCCTGCCAGATGGTAATAGTTAAAAAAAAAAGGGTGCCCAGGATGAGATGGATCTTTATGAATGTTTTGAACTTTCTTAAGGCAGCGGGAGCTATAAAGCTCTTCCAAAGAGGGGAGAGGGCAACCAACGATCCTCTGGGCAATGACGTTGACCCTCTGGAGCGCTGTCCTATCCGCCACTGTGCAATTGGCAAACCATACACAGGTGCAGTTAGTGAAAATACTCTCTAGGGTGCAGCGGTAGAAGGTTACCAGCAGTTTCTCATTCAGTTGTTCAGTCTCAGACGTGAGACGTCTCAGGTAGTATAATCTCTGCTGGGCCCTTTTGACCAGGGCTGCAGTGTGAGCGGCCCCAGGCCAGGTCCTCTTTTAGGATAACACCCAGAAACTTAAAACTAGCCACTTGCTCCACTCGGTCTCAGAGAGGGGTCCGATCCCTTGGTTGTAGAGAAAGGGGGCCGTATACCCTCGTGGAAGGGAGACCCTCTGCCCTCTCTCAGGGAGGGGGGCAATGCCCTTTGCCTATACACATGTGTGGGGGGGGGCTCCCTCTGCTCTTCCTCGTATTGGGGGCAATGCCCTTTGCCCATGCTGATGGAGAGGAGGGAGTCCTGTGCCCTTGCTCGTGGAAGGGGGACCCTGTGTCCTCTCTCATGGAGACTGTTTCCTTGATCTCTTGGTTGTAGAGAAAGGGGGCCATGTACCCTCGTGGTAGGGAGACCCTCTGCCCTCTCAGGGAGGGGGGCAATGCTCTTTGCCCATACATGTGTGTGTGTGGGGGGCTCCCTCTGCTCTTCCTCATATTGGGGGCAATGCCCTTTGCCCATGCTGATGGAGGGGGGGAATCCTGTGCCCTTACTCGTGGAGGGGGGACCCTGTGCTCTCTTTCATGAAGAGGGCTTCCCTGATCCCTTGGTTATAGAGAAAAGGGGGACCCTGTGCCCTCGTGGTAGGGAGACCCTCTGCCCTCTCTCAGGGAGGGGGGCAATGCCCTTTGCCCAAATACCTGTGTGTGTGGGGGGGGGTGTTCCCTGTACCCTTCCTTGTATTAGGACCAATGCCCTTTGCCCATACACGTGTGTGTGTGGGGGGGGTCCCTCTGCCTTCCTCGTATTGGGGGCAATGCCCTATGCCCATGCGGATGGAGAGAGGGGGTTCCTGTGCCCTTGCTCGTGGAGGGGGGACCCTGCGCCCTTTCTCATGGAGAGGGTTTCCCTGATCCCTTGGTTGTAGAGAAAAGGGGGACCCTGTGCCCTCTCTCAGGGAGGGGGGGCAATGCCCTTTGCCCATATACGTGTATGTGTGTGTGGGTGGAGGGGTCCCTCTGCCCTCCTTCGTATTGGGGGCAATGCCCTTTGCCCATGCGGATGGAGGGGGGGGTCCTGTGCCTTTGCTCGTGGAGGGGGGGGGTGGGCTGTCCTCCTAACACAGACATGCGTGTCGTCGTCCCCACCCGGCCGAACGGCGCGACTCCCCACGGGGCCACATCCTCGGAGCCCAGGCCGGGGCCCCTGCGCCAGCCCCCCCTCCCCCCCGGCCCCGCTTACCGTCACGCCGTACTTGAGCGCCAGGCCCGGCAAGGTGTCTCCGGGGCTGAGGCGGTGCTCCACGTACCGCTCCGCCAAGGGGGCGACCACCGTGGCCGTGCTGCCGTAGGACCGCGTTTTGGTGCGAGCCAAGCTCAGCGACAGCTCGGCCTCCCCTTCAGCGGCGCCGGGACCGGGCAGCGGTTCCTCCCGAAGCGACAACCCGGGCAGGGGTAAAGACTCCGCCATGGCGGGGTGTAAGCGCTCAGCGGCAGGTCGAGGCCATAGCGGCGGGCAAAGGGAGCCTTCCGTTCCCTCAGGAGGCCGCGAAGCGAAGAGAGAGAGAGAGAGAGAAAAAAAAAAAGCGAGAGCCCTGAGGCGCGAAAGGCGGGAAGCGAGCGGCGTCCTCGTGCGCCTGCGCGCTAGAGACGCCGGCGGCACGCGAGGGACGGGAGGGGAGGGGAAAGACTCGCGCCTCCGGCCAGACCGCCCCTTTCTGCGCCTGCGCCCAGGCTCGGAGCATGCGCCGAGCGCCCTGCTGAGGGGAGAAAGTTTTGTCCTCGGGCGACCTGCGTCCCATCCCCCCACCAACCCCCATCCGTGACCCGCAACCGCATTCACACGACGCCTTTTTTTTTTTTTTTTGTCTAAGGTCAGTGAGTGAAGGGCCTCGGGAGATCCGGCCGCCACCTTCCCCCTCAAAAAAATGGGAGTTCCCGTTTAACGGTAGTAATGTGTGGATTTGGGGGTACAGCTTAGCCAGCTGCCTTATTTAAAGGGTTGAAGGTGCTGTAAAAGAACTGCGAACCAGAGTTTTTTTGGGGGGGGGAAAGTATTATAATAATTATATCTGTGGGGATTCTCAGTCATCCAGGTCATGGTTGTCCCAAAGGTGCTTTTTTTTCCCCCCCCCACAGATAGATAGATAGATAGATAGATAGATAGATAGATAGATAGATAGAAAATAAATAATAAATAAATAAACAAATAAACAAACCTCCAAGCGGCCTCAGTGACTTTCTAGAAGGATGCAAATGACCATCTGTCTGCAAGGGGTAGAAACTCTTCCATTCCCCCCACCATCCCGTCAGAACTGAAGAAGCTTCTTGGATGAGAAGTGAAACATCTTCAAAGAAAAAGAAAAACCAAGGAACTCCAGTTGCCTCTTATTATAATACTTCTGCATTTCTTAGTAGAAATTGTTCCTTAATTCTATAAACCCAGAAAAAAGGACTTGCGGGGGGGGGGAGAGTCTACAAATATTCTCCTCTCTTGGTCAAAAGGAGTCTGTACCCGGGTTAAGGGAGTTGTGGGAACACGGGCAATTAGTTGATCTACACGTGTTCTTCCCAGGGAGTTGCGGAGGGTAGCTTTTTTTTTGTCACCTTCATTGTTAATGTAGACCAGTTGTTGTGTTTTGTTTTTTTTGAGAAGTAGGGAAATATTTATTTTTGGTTGTATACAAACTTCCTCTCCTGTTATTAGAAGATCAAAGACAATAATTTCCAAATTGGAAACTTTTGTTAAATGCATTTGATGTGCTCTTCTTCCCTCTAGTGGAAAACAACGGCACGGTTGCTGTACTATACTTTTTTTCTTTTCTATTTTTTAATAAAAACACTTTATATAAAATATGTTTTAGTTCTTTTTTCTTTTTTAAAAAAAGCTTATATAGTATAAACATGTTTTACTTAGTTCTTTCTTTACTATTTTTTAATAAAAACACTTTATATAAAATGTTTTACAGTTTCTTTTTTTAAAAAAACACTTTATACAGTATAAACATGTTTTACTTAGTTCTTTTTTTCCCTTTTTTTTAAATAAAAGCACTTTATATAAAATATGTTTGTCTTAAAAGGTTTTACCAGACTTCTTCTGATCTGTGATATATTACCTGAAAACTTTTAGGGTTCTTGGGAAAACCTAAGTTTGATTCCCCACTCCTTTTTTTAATTTGAATAAAGCATGCCAAATTTGGGTGTTAAAAAATAAGAGTCAAAGAAAGTTTTAATTCTGAGCCACCGTCACAAACCTGGTCGTAACATCGGATGGTTACAATCTATGTATAAAGCAATTGTGTGAAATTTCTCACAATTGGTTAATTAGTAGTTAAATTTAGATATAATCCATGCTGACCATCATGTAACTTTAATATTGTATGAAGCCTTTACACTGACGTATTAACTTATGTATAATTAAAATATTTCTACTAGGCTTAATGACTGAAGCTTTACAGGTAAGAGGTTGCACGTGATTGAAGAATAACATAAGAACCTTAAAATGCCTAATTTGATTCCTATTATGTTTTTTCACCCAATATAGGAATTTATATCAGTCATATTTTACATCCAGTTTTTTTTCAATCGTTGGAACCTATTTCTTATCAATCCTTTTTTTTCACCTGTTTTACTTCTAAAGATTGACCTATTATTCAGTTGTAATAGAATATGATCAAACAAAAAGAGCATTTTAAATACCAGTCTTTTGTAGCAATTGAAATCTATCCTCCTGAATAAATGACATAGAATAAAGATAGGCAGCTTCTTATCAAGATAACTTTTCAAAACTAAATGTATAAAGCTTCTGTTTCTTAACTAGTTGAATGTGATAGACTATGATAAAATTTATTCTATTAGCAGGTGCTACACTGTGTATCAAATCTGACTTTTCAAGTAACTGCACAAACACATTAAAATAACTTTCTAATTTATTAGTAGTTACAGTACTCTGTTCTAAAGCTGTGACTGATCAGTAATATTTGCATGAGTGATGATGGTATGATGGAAGTTACATATGATAAATACTTCCCAAGAAAAAAAACCCAACTTTGTTTTCAAAGGATGCACATGTATGTTGAAGCAGATATTATTCAAGACAAGGACATTCTTATCTTCTCATGCAACCCAGTGAATGCCTCTTTTTTATGGCAGTCATATCTATATTATTTAGACATTTAAAGACAGACAACTCTAGGGTAGAAGGATTAATAAGGCTGCAAGTTGAATTAATAAAATGATTTTGATGTTGGTTTTTTTTCTGAAATGAAGAAACATCAATGAACAGACATTTAAATTATGATGTGGAAAAATCTGTCAAAGCTGGGAAAGAAAGAAAAGAATGTGTTATGGTCTTGGGAACATCCATCTTTAAGTATGTCATTATCAAATGATTTGAGACCTAATTTTCCATGCGGTATTTTTAAAATGATTCTAAAAATGATTTCAGATGACATTCTTGGAAATCTTTGGGTTGGACTATATGAAAATGGGATTTGGGAACATTTTTTAGAAGTTGTGCTTTCTGAATAGGTATGTTTTTAATGTAGTAGTATACACATACCCTTTTACTAATGATTCAACTTGTGCAAACAGCTATTTTCCAATTATTTTTGCCATACATTGGGTGGAAATTTGCAGGCAGAAAATCTGTAGTTTCTTTTTTTAAAGCTAATTTACATAGCTATAAATAACAATGCATTTTATTTTAAAATGTATTTTTATGCCCGGCTATAGAGATAGTCAAGCGTTTACTGGGGTTTGGAAAAGACATCCAAATGGCATTATACTGAGGAAAATAAAAACAAAAAATTATTTAAATTAGTGGTAATCTTAGTTAAGTACTTCTTTCCAACTATTACAGACACAATAGTGAGTCACTTACTGGTTATTCTCCCAGTTGCTCTTTAATACTGTGATGCATTTCAGTTGCAGTGAATTTTAAAAGCACAAGGAAGATCTTGTGGAACTAAATGCTAACACTGCATTTATGCAGAGGTTCTCAAGGCTTTTTTCACGTTCTGTGGGATTTTCACATCAATCATTACTATTATTATTTAATAATAACTATTGTTAAATTTCTGCACAGTGAGAGTCACTTTTTTCCCATCTATTTTTCCCCAGTCTAATACATGTATGGCATTAAATATTTTTAACCATTTTTAACCAAAAGAGCAGATCTCAAAATCTATAGAAGGGAGTCCCATTAATGGCATTCTGTTGTCTTATTCAGGAAACTGTAGTGAGGAATTCCCTTTTCCTTTTGTGCTATCCATTGTTCACTAATGGTTTTCTTTTGTAACCTGATAACTAAAGTTGGAATGTGGGGTTTTCTGACCTGAGAATAAATCCATTTCAAAGACTTTGTTTCCTAGGTGACATGGATATGAAATGTCTCTCTCACCAATCTCCCGTAGTGACTGATGAGTTTAATCTTCACTATCTAAGAATCACTGAATCCAGTGGCCAATAGTAATAACAAATGTCTAGTTTCAGAAATTAAAACCACCTTAAAAGCAATTTGACAAACACAACATTATTATTAGAACATTTATATACATCAAATGGGTTGTCGGTAATTATTTTGGCCTCCTATTAATACATATACACACATCAACAAATAACTTAAAAGGTCATCTGAAGCTATTTTAAGTTGGCAAATTATATTAGGAAACTGGCTCACCTAATAGTAACATATGTGAGCACATAGTCAACAGTCCTTGCAATCATGCAAGATGGATTCATGAGGCTTTCTCATGCCTGGAATGGTGACATGGAATTGCTTTCAGTTTAATATCCCTCCACTGAGAAGTGATTTAACTTATAGCCAGTGTCTTCATATTTATGTACAGGAAACATAATGATTCCCTTGATGACTCCTTATTTTGGAGAATGAGTTTGTTCACCCTATACAGTATGTAGTTTAATATCTCAGTTCATATCAAGGCAAAGCATGGCTAGGACTAATTTAACTAAGTAATGATTTACACTCAGCCAGAAAGCTAAAATCAGAAGCCATGACTGAGAAAGATTTTCAAGCTGTGGGTTGTGCTAATTATTATTCTGTGCCATGGATAAATTAGCATATTTTCCTTAGAGGATTTGTTCTACGTTTAGAAGGATCCAGTCAATGTTGAAAGTTAAGTACAGCTAAAGCATGAGTTGCTAAATATAAAGAAAAAAGAATGCTAACGTATTGCAGTTCCAATTTTGTCTGGCATTGCATTTAGGCATAGTGTTAATTCAGAATTTTTAATCCGTGGTTTGTCAAATGAGTCCTTACTGGCTTCGTTCACACATAACACTATGTTATACTGGGCATGTTTACACATGTACGAAATGAGTACTAAGAAAATTACATTATGGTGTTCATTTTATGTGAATCCGTCCTGACCGTTAGATCCTACAGTGTGCTCTAAGATAAGGTTATTGAAAATTATAATTTGGTATTAACAAAGCCTATTGTGAGATTTGTCTCGAGTTATCTGCTCCAGAAGCAATATTTTGCAATATATCTACTGTCTAGCTTATGGCACATTGTAGTCTTGTGGAATTTGAAGATTGATTTGTTTGGCAGAGTGTGCTGGTATGAGAACAGTTCCACCTTGGCATGACAAGTTGTTTTAAAATGACCTTGGTCCCTTTCTTTACAATTTGCACATAGCCGTACAAAGATAACAGGAAACAGAGAGCAAACCTAGGCTTACTATGAGTCAAGACAAGGTGGTGATTTGTACAAAATAGAAAGGACAATCCACTAAACAATTCCCACTTGTTTCAGTGGACCTGCAGGAATATTTCCTAATCACTCATGGAAGGGAGAGAAAAGACTAACTTGCAGCTCTCCCCGTTTTGACACCAAGTTTCGGCTGGTCTTCCATTCAGAACATCTTGAATTCAGAGCATGATTGTTGATTGCTGGGAAAAAGAAAATTAGGCTGGATTATGGTGTTGAAATAACAAGAAAGGATGAATTGAGGTAATGGAACATGAGCAGTCTCGTTCTAAAGCCTTTCCAGTATCTTCCCTTTAAATCAGTAAATTTTATGAGATTTTGATGAAATCCTTCTCTTCCTTCACATCCTCAGAGACAAGGCTAATGGCGTTCTTCCACTCGTTTCTTGCGAACTAGAGAAAGAAAAAGAGAAAGGAAGAGGGACAAACATTGCTTTGTAAGTGTCACAAAATATTTTTTCTAATTTTGTAACTTTTTTTGTAAAGGTGATTAATAAACAAGTTTATTTATGTCTACACTTGTGTTCACCCCTTCCACCACGGGACGAGTATCATTTGTTATCCTTTAATTTTGCACCGTAGTAAATCTACAGTAAATTCGGGCAGCAAATCATTTCTGTTTATTATTTAACCTAAACCTAAATATGCATATTTTGGGTTCCTGTGTTGTTTATTTACAAGCTTTGTTTTACACAGTACAACTTGTATTGTTTGGAAATCCAACATAAAGAATAAAGTGTTACTTAAATAACAACAAGGTGGGATATTAATTCCTTTTCATCAGTATTTTTCTTTTATATATGGGGTTCAGCCATCATTGTTTTATTATATTATTTCACTATAGGGTAAAAACAGAAGTTTCCAAGTGACTAGCTAACCTGGTAAGAAAGCTTCTGGTACAGTTGTTATGTTTGTAACCCTCTCACCATACCCTCAAAATGTAAAGAAAAACTTTCTCTCTTTATCAGTAGACAAACTCCTAATTAGCCTTGTTTCTCAAGAGACAAACCTTTCTGACCATTGAGAAAGAAGATCTGTTTATTTTTACAATGATGGTCACCCCTTTTAATCCACTCTTGCTTCATCAATTTCGTTTTGTGTTAAGAGAGCCTTGGTGATCCTTGTGTATCAGATGTGTCATTTTGTAATGGCCCAAACAAGACTGGGCATTTTCTATTTTTCCTAGTCTGAATTGAATTCAGTATTTTCTCCGGTAAGGATGCTCCTGAGCTTTCATCAATTTGAAGGGTTGGTATCTTACCTAGATCATTATTTTTAGTGATGGCAGCTGCTACCCTGGTTCTTGGGCCTTGCTTTGTAAACTGGTACCCAAATTTGAGAATCTGCGAATTCTCCTCCAACATCTGAGCAATCTCCATCTCCACTGCTGTACCAAGCTGTTGTCTCTGAGAAAGCAACCAAGATCGAATCAAATGGAAAATATCGTTGCTGATTCACAGCAGCGTCTCTCTTTAGACAACTTTCAACCTAAATTGATATCATATCATCATCATCAATGCGACTTCGTGCACAAAACTCAAGTCTCTAAGGGCTAAACTAGATTTAATATTTGGTGTGGGGTGGTAGAGCTTATCATAGTCAAAAAATTAACTGTGTTATTAATTTAACAGCTGCAGTGATAACAACTGTGGCAAGAAAACTCACTTAACAGATTTCTCACTTAGCAACATAAATTTTGGGCTCAGTTGAGGACTTCCTATAGAAAGTCAAGCAGGGACTTGCATTTTGAACAAACCAGATACTAATCCCTCCCCCCTGAAATAATTTCCTAGCTTTATCACTGTAAGAGGGAAAATGCTAGACTAGGGAAATTCTAATCTCTTACAGTAATCTATTTCTGAGTGTAAAAGAAACATTAATATTTTCAGACTGAAGGTTCCTGCATGATTGAATTTTAACATACTAAGAAAAATCAAATATATACATTAAATCAGGCTTATCCTGCCACTTTGAGCTCTGTCTTATTACAAGATCCCAAACAAGCCTTATCGCGAAACAGCAATTTTTAGAGTCCAGCCAATCCGAAGTTCCACCCTTTCCTTACCTGATTGTCAATTTTGATTTCTGTCAGTACTTCATTTCCTTTCAGAGCATCAACCAAAGCAAGGATGCCTGTCCCAGTGATAAAATTGGATTCTATATTTAGACTTTTCAGTGTCTTGTTTACTTTTAGCGTATCTGCAAAAGCCTGAAAAGAAACACAGCAGTTTTGTTTCTGTTTGCCTTAAGAAATATTACATATTTATTATGCGTATTTATTTATTCTGCATTATTTTCTAATACTTTTTATCAACCCAGTATTAAAATAGAATATGCAATTTTCCCCAAGAAAACCTCACCATTGCAACAGGGTCGTTGCTTCGAGTAGCTGCCAGGCTGAATTTTTTCACGTGGTTATTGGTTTCCAGAGCCTTTGCAAACTCTTTAAGAGTTGGAATTGGGATGTTCTGTATAAGATTTAAAAAAAGCTTTATTGTAATTACTTGAATTTAATAGATTCCAGGATAGTCATATAGTGAGTGACCTGGTTCTGTCAAAGTGGTACTAAGTCAAAACTGTGTTGGACAGCACAGTATCCCAAATTGTAAATGAACCAACTTTCTGAGCAGGTCCCTAATTTTAATTTGGATTACACACATTTAATAATAAAACTTGTATCCCACCTTTCTATAAAATAGCATCAAGACAACTAACAAAATATTTCAAATAAAACAAGGTCAGGCAAATAAATTAGGATCAATCTAAAGCTAATAAAAGACAAAGACATTTTATCTAACTAGATAATGTAAAGAAGCTTTAAAAAAGGAAGAGGCACAAGCAACAGTTCCGCAACAGAGAGCACACACATAGTCGTTTCTATCTCACTCAAAAATGTTGTGTTTATAAGACTGATCATTGGTCTTTTAAATGTTTCAGCATATCTTTCTGAAGGGAATGAAATTGCAAATCATCATCCTCTGAAGTATCATTTACCCTGGTGACTTTCATGTTTGTAAAGAATGCAAATATATAGTCTTTTTTAAAATTTCAATTTGAATACTGACATGAACTTTAATATCTGCTTCATAACATCTTTGATGGATGAAGCTATAGTCTAGACAAGAAAAAATAAAGCCCATCTCAACATACTGTATTTTACAAGTTAAGACTGGAACAATAAAACAACTGAATTTGACTTTGATAGAAGTACCTTTATGTTGTTGAGATTGACTTCTTGGAGAGTGGGATCATTTGCCTTAATTCTTTGCAAACAGGCTTCAACATTTGTTGGGTTAGGCGGTTCTTCAAAAACAGGCTTGACCTTTTCACCTTTAACAACATCTGGGGGGGGAGAGAAAAAAGCACTAATGCCACCCTTCCGTCCATATACCATTAATGCGAAATTTTCTTTAGAAATACTGTTTTCAGTAAAGTGACATAGGCATTCTAAGCCACCAGTTATAATCTGATGGATTATTTTATAACAGTTTTGGCTTTCTCGTTTCTACAAAGTCATCTTTGTCCTTTCTCTTGTTTTGAACTTTTGTCCACTTCTAACAATTGACTGCGATGTCAGGCTGCCTAGCAGGCATGGCTATAAATTTTGATTTTGCAAACACTTTATCCCTTATTCAAGACTTTGTTTACTCAACAGAAGGCTTTCAGACAAGGCTGTCAAGTTCTCTTCCTTTTTCTTGCAGATAACTAGGCATAAGCATTCATAAATTTTCATATATCATGATAATTAAATATGGTTTTGGCTTCGCTGATTATGTAAACAAAGCCAATTTTGATTTGTTCAATAAACCATGTTTAAACCAGGGCATAGGTTAAGCTCATGTTTAACTTCTCATAGCCAGCTACATTTTCAGTTATATAACTCAGTTCGTAGAAACTCCTAAAATAGATTCTTCACTAGCTATTTTAATTATATATTTTAACAAATACTACTGCCTAAGGGGGAAAATATTATTTTTGGAACAAAAGTGCCTGACAGAGCAAATTCCTAATTACCTCATTCACGATGGGAATGCAGTTTAGGAGACCTGCCACGTTGACCAATTGCTAATTGGATCTTTGCAACAATTTTAACCATCACAGTGGGAAAAAGATAGCAGCATAAGTAGTTTGATGGTTGCAGAACATTGTCCTCTTCCTTTGCGAGATGGGATGCAGGGGAACATCTCTACTTACTTTTCACAATTCCTTTGCCATCTTGACCGGTGGTTCCTTCATCAAACTTAGGGTTGTTGACCAAGTTATGAACTCCGAGGACAGCTAGAAGTACCAGAAATACCAGCAATAAAATGGCTTGAAAAGACATGGCCTTCATCTAGAATCTCCTGCTTTTCTCCTAGAATTCTTCCATGTTACCCATCAGTAGCTAATATATCAAGAGGAGGCTAATCAGGTGGATTGTTTTTTTTCATTCAGGATGATTTATTTAAATTATTTTATACTGCTGTTTAGGAAAAATTGCCTCTTCAAAGAAGCTTACCAGGTAACATTTTACATAATTGAAAATGCAAAGTGTAACCCAATAAAACCTGGAATGTAACCACAAAAATTAAAAATCCGGTTTTAAAAATGGAAATGGGCTTATCATTTATATGAAAGCAGATGGGAATAATGAGTTTAATATATAGCAGTTTAATTGAGATAAAAAGTAGAGCAGATAAAACTATCTAGAAAAAGGGCAGTGATGAGTTCAGTACCTATTCAACTGAGCCATATGATATACTAAAGGTAAAGGTTTCTCTGTCAGTCATATCCGAATCTAGGGCTTATCTCCGTTTCTTGGTTGAGGAAGCCACCATTGTCCGAAGACGATTTCCATGGTCATGTGTCCAGCATGACTATATGCCATAGGTGCATGAAAAGCTGGTACCTTCCAACTCAAGTGGTACCTCTTTATCTACTTCAGAGGTGGTATTCAGCAGGTTCTGACCAGTTCTGGAGAACCGCTAGCGGAAATTTTGAGTAGTTCGGAGAACTGGTAAATACCAGCTCTGACTGGCCCCGCCCCCATCTATTCTCTGCCTCCCGAGTCCCAGCTGATCGGGAGGAAATGGGGATTTTGCTGTAATCTTCCCCTGGGAATGGAAATTTTACAGTATCCTTCCCCTGGAGTGGGGTGGGAATGGGGATCCTTCCCCTGCTACGCCACCAATCTATGCCCCCCCAGAACCGGTAGTAAAAAAATTTGAATCCCACCACTGATCTACTTGTATTTTCATGCTTTTGAACTGCTATCTGGGCAGGAGCTGGGGTGAGGAACGGGACCTCACCCCATTGCACAGAGTTCAGGTCTCGAATCCGGGCTGACAGCTCTCCAGTGCTTTTTAACTGCTGACCCATTAAGCTCCTTCATGATATACTAACAGCATTCTATTAGCTATTTCATCCATAATACATTTCTTAAATGGAATAACCCTTCCATTTTGGAAAAGATGTGAAGACTTACCCATCATGCGCATATATTTCAATAAGTGTGAATGTCAGAAATCTGTACTGGCTGGCTGCATACCTACACTCTTATATAATACCTATACTCTTCTATAATAGCCCTGAGCAAACATTTGCATGTGGTTAACAGTTCTCTGTGTTGGAAAATACTTACGCATATGCTTTGAGTTCTGTTCAAACCTCCCTGTATGCCATTTTAGAACGTTGAATATTCAGCATATCTGAATGTTGAAATCTTTGACTAATCAACACTGCCATTAAACCCAGTTCTAGAGTTCCTGTTCTTTGGTTTCTCAATCAAAGGAGTGCTGTTAGTGCATTTGTGGGATTCACTTAAGAGTAAGGCTTCAATTTGCGGTAAGGGAATATTAATATACACATCCGTCTCACCAAACCTAGCCATATTTATGTACTGTTGACAACAACAGTAGTGACTGAAAGACTGACCCTGCTATGAAGCAAACAAATAAACAATCTTGCCACACACCTGCTAGATCATACAGCTCAGTATCAGAGGCGCTGGCCAGGGCTTCTTCTAATTCTGGATCCAGAGTCACCTTCTTTTCTGTGTGGGTCTCTATTGGTCTCTCCTTAGGCACAAACGCTTTTCCTTCAAGACAGAAATGAACTGAATCAATTGAAGAGCATGATGGTTGCGAGCTTAGGGAAGTTCATCCTAAGCGTCTACTCTACTGAGAATGAGTTCAGAGAAAGAACATTTATGGATTATAGGCAAACCAGGGAAATGACCAAAATTCAGCGGATGAATGAATACTGACTATATCCTAGGATCCAGTCCTAAATGGGATTATTGGGGTCAAGTCCTACTCAGCAAAGCTTGTGTGATTTAAAATGCAACTACAGGCCTCCTACTGGACAGCCGTCGAGCCTGTTCACACAGTAAAAGCCAACAAAAGCAAACATTTAACTGCTGGTATTATTTTTAGGAAAATGATTCATAATTTCCAAATTTAAAAACTGGCAATAAGGTAATAATTTTCAAAGGAATGCATCAGCTCTTGAAGGTCTCATGCATTTAACCTTTCCTGACTCAATCCCATCATGCAGACTGATGGATAAAATGACATATCTTCATTGCTCAGCCATAGGGTTGTCCTGTTTTCATTATTTTATACATGATGTTGTTATCCTCACATTCTTCTGAAGAATTTAGGTCAAGTGCATGTCCGATAGACTGGGTTAAGAGACTGGCTATCCCAAGACAAGCTTTATAGTTCTATGTTGGTTCTCCACTTATAAAGGGGGGGGGGGGGAATGATTCACAAAAGAAAAAATATATATATAATAATCATGTGTTGTATTTTTTGAGAGCCAAAAGCACTCCACCTACTTACGAAGCAATGGCTTGGTAAGAAAAACCATCAATGGAATTTCTCTGTTGATCATGGGAGTGAGAACAAGAATAAGGCTGTGACTGCTTACATCCACTGTATGAATTTATGGCAGAGGTGAGGTTTGAATATAGGCCATCCAAGCCATACCACAACTGTTCTCCAAAGCCCTTGTTTCTCCTCACTCTTCTCTTTCATGCACAGGCTCAACATCACGTAACAGTCCACTCTTTATCTCCAGCCGATGGTCCAATCCCTATCTCCAGCCTTGTAACCTGTCCTGCTGGAATATCTGCAGTAGGAAGCTTGTTTTTCTTGATTATAATAAAACCAGTTTTAAGGCATTTTCCCATAATGCTATTTCTACTTCCCCAGTCTTCCAAAACCATTTTGAAGCTAGGAACGTAATCAATCTCCATTCCTGCTCAACTCAGATCACTGAGAACAAGCACCTCCACCAACAACAAAAGGTAAAAAGGTAAAGATTCCCCTCGCACATATGTGCTAGTCGTTCCCGACTCTAGAGGGCAGTGCTCATCTCTGTTTCAAAGCCAAAGAGCCAGCGGCTGTCCGAAGATGTCTCCGTGGTCATATGGCGGCATGACTAAATGCCAAAGGTACACGGAATGCTATTACCTTCCCACCAAAGGTGGTCCCTATTTTTCTACTTGCATTTTTTACCTGCTTTTGAACTGCTAGGTTGGCAGAAGCTGGGACAAGTTATGGGAGCTCACCCCATTACGCGGTGCTAGGGATTCGAACCGCTGAGCTGCCGATCTTCTGATCGACAAGCTCAGCATCTTAGCCACTGAGCCACCGCGTCCCACCAACAATAGGCGAATGCAAAAATTACCATACAGATATTGCCTTCTACATGAGCTACAGAAACTTCTAGAATTACAAAAGGGGTTTTAAAAAAATTGAGCAGCTAACTCCCATCCCCATTTGTCAACACACCCTGCATGCGTTTGGCCACTTTGTGAAAACATCTGAGTGGTTAAAATATGAGGAAAGCTCATTGCTGACAATATGTCATTCCTCCCGAATGGAAAGTTTTGATGATGGCACAATGTGATCCGTTTGGGGCCAGACATCTTTCCCAAGAGCTACAATCTGAGTCGCATTATAGAACATTCACATGTTTGAGGGGAAGAGAAGAATGACTCACTTGAGGCCAAAGATTGGGAGGTGAGTCAAGGTGAAGCAGGAGTTCGCTGCGCACTGTTTATACAAGCAGGGAAATCAAGCTAGCAATTTTTTACAGGAGCTATAAAACTGACTGGAAAGATTATATTGGGATTGCTGATAGGACTGCCTGTGAAATCTGTTAGAGGGGGCCAAGTTCGCCCTGCCTATAAGTTGCTCTTGAATTCCAGTGTCAAAACTTAAAAATAAAATTTTGTCATTTGAGCTGTGCTGCAGCTGAAAAAGAAAAAAAATGGCTCTATGGTCCAAGAAGGATAATTTATGTGATTTTTGTGACGCGGGATCAATGCTGTATGAGGAGGGGGTTCTCCAGATCATGTTCGTTCTTTTGTGCCAAGCCATAATGTGTTTGATTTTGACTTAATGCGTTGCATAGATCCATCCCATTTCTGTTGTTTAATGTTATATGAGAAGTAGGCCCCAACGATTGTTCAGCCAACTGTAGTTAAAGAAACCACAGCTTAGAATACTGTGCAAACTCAGCCTGTTCAAGATACTTTTGATCTATAAAGCCACAGCGCTCCAGATGTGTGAAATGGGTCTCCCTAGGCAGATATGAATATTTGCTAGAAAAGTGATCAAATTGCCTCTGCTCTCCCACCTCCCACCATTTCCCCCCCCACCCTACTGTCCTTCCACAGAGTAAATGAAACCATATGGAAAGCTTTAATATATCTACTGGAACTCCACAAGCAACGGAGTGTGGGATAATTTATTTTGTCCAAGACTTCCCTAGTGGACTGGTCTATTCCAAACAAAGAACAAAGGTGGGCTGGAAAAGGAGGTTTGTGGGGACTCAGATACACTAGAATTGGCTTTTAACACTAGATTCCAACTTGCAACAATTAATCAGGGGAACTCCTTGCCTCCAGAAATTGTGGGTGCTCCAACACTGGAAGTTTTTAAGAAGAGATTGGACAACCACTTGTCTGAAACGGTATAGGGTTTCCTGCTTGAGCAAAAGGTTGGACTAAAAGATCCCTTCCAATTCTGGTATTCTGTTATACACATTCATATACGAGATGGCATTTTTGTTAAAGGCCAGCAAATATATATTATCACACCTTTGCGTTACACATAAAACAATAGGATGCTCATGCCACATTCTCTCTTGCTGATCCCCATACATACAGCCCAAGAGTGGTGCCGAAGCTGCCAGTTAAATCTGCAATAGTGAAAAGTGAAAATATTTTAATGATTGAATGAGAAAAAACAAATTCCACTATCTGCCAGTGCCAGAAGGAAGTGCCCGTGTCATGAAGTCATTTAGCTCACCATATTAAGAAGCAGAAAACCCAGAGCCGAGCTAAAATTTTCAGAGATTCTCGATGTGGAAATATGGGTTGCAGATAGGTAAATGCTCCTTTTCCGTAAAGATAGCAACATTAGCTACTCGTTTTACATATCCCACTGAGGCATAATGTCATTTGCTTATTTGTGGCTGGGCATGACATGTAAATCCAGCCACTCTGTTTACAGCTTAGCTTGATAGGAAACTTCAACCATGGTTTATTCAATCCATGATTTAAGCTCAGTCGGTGGGCTCCGTGATGAGTTTCATCAAAAAGTGATATTCTTAAGACTCACATGTATGACGACATACATGTTCCTGGGCAGCATCCCTTTTATCAGATGCTTATGTTCACCTCGGTTGCCTGTTCCCGATTACTATTTACCACCTGATTTTTCCACTGGGTTGGGCATTGTTAGGTTTTGTGTCTCTTTGCTTAGAAAGACTGTTTCTGCTTTATTTCAGCCAGTACTTCCCAAGCAGCTCAGTTCCAAGGAGAATCAAGCCTGTTAAGCTTTACAAATGATCACTCCCCAGCCATTTTTTTACTGCAAGGCCTGCCAAAATAAAAAAATTAAATAAAGGCAGTGGTCAGAAACACCACATGTCTTGGATGTCCTGCCAAGAAGGATCATGACTTATTCTTATGCAAGTATCTCAATGAGTTTTGCCAGCTTTAAATCAAGCAAGCTCATCTTACATAACGGCTTGGCAGTTTTGCATCCAGGCTCACTGGGGGCTGCAAAGGGTTATCCGAGTTTTGCAGGATCCCAGTTTTACAATGCCTGTGAGAATAACAGAACTGGGAGGAACCTTGGAGGTCTTCTAGTCCAACCCCGTGCTCGAACAAGAAACACTATGCCATTTCAGACAAGTTGCTGTCCCCATCTCCAGTGTTTGGAGCACCCACAACTCCTGGAGGCATGTCATTCCACTGAATTATTGTTCTAACAGTCAGGAAATTTTCCTTAATCCTAGGTTGGTTCTTTCCTTGATTAGTTTCCATCCCTCGCTTTTTATCCTGCCTTCAGGTACTTTGGAGAACAGGTTGAAACCCCCCCCCCTTCTTTGTGGCAGCCCCTCAAATATTGGAACGCTATCCTTGGACTCTCAAAAACTTGAAAACAGGCTTCTCCAGGTTGGATTAGGAAGACAAATATTGCAGGGGGAAAACTCTGATCACCAGGGATAAATAAGCTAGATATTATTTCCTTCGGGGTACTTCGACAAATGTAAGGGATGCGGTGGCTAAGACGCTGAGCTTGTCGATTGAAAGGTCGGCAGTTCAGCAGTTCGAATCCCTAGTGGTGCATAACGGGATGAGCTTCCGTTACTTTTCCCAGCTTCTGCCAACCTAGCAGTTCGAAAGCACGGAAAAAATGCAAGTAGAAAAATAGGGTCCACCTTTGGTGGGAAGGTAACAGCGTTCCGTGCGCCTTTGGCGTTGAGTCATGCCGGCCATATGACCACAGAGACGTTTTTGGACAGCGCTGGCTCTTCGGCTTTGAAACGGAGATGAGCCCTGCCCCCTAGAGTCGGGAACGACTAGCACATATATGCGAGGAGAACCTTTACCTTACTTCAACAAAAGGATTCTGTGCTAGTTGGTAACCAGATCTGGTTTTCTCTGTCTCCATGAGATCAGCAAGACTGGAGAACTCAAGTCGATGTAGCTCAGCTACTGGGTTATTGAAAGCATTACAGAGCTAGAGCTGACTTGTTTTCAGATGCCATGGCTTACTCTCCCCATTAAAAGGAACTCTTGCTTTGCCTCTCCCTCTGGCTTCAGTTTCTGCAAAGAATGCATTGGCTGGATAACTGACAGCTTCCCCCCCTGTAGTCCAAAGGCAAAAGGAGGAACGGGTGAAATTGGCTAACATTTTGTCAGTTTCCCTCCACTGTACTGTACTTTCTTCCACAGGGACAACTCCATGGCATCGTGTCAAGCTATTGGTGGGGTTGTTGTTTTCCTATTCATTCTTTTCATGTGAAATGGAGAGAACGTAAGGAGATTTATTGCCGCAGGACCTACTGCAAGTCTGGCTATCATATCTTGCTTCTTGCTCTCACTGCTAATTCTTTTCACTCCCCCAGAGTTTTGTCAACATGAAATACTGGGGACACGGACTGCATCATTGCTCTGTCACGCAAAGCAAAAATCCTTTCAAAGCTACGGTACACAAAAGGGAGAAGATGAAAAGGGGGGGGGGGAGAACCCCAATTTGGCACTTTACAGGACAGTTTTAAGACGTTGCAGACAAAATTAATCTTGGCAGCATTTCATCCATTTGACTTTCGGTTACTCCGCTTGGTTGTCTGAGGAGCTGCAAGGCCATCAAGCCAATGTTCCCCCTTTCAAAGACACGAAGCTTAGAAGCTGTTAATTGTGGTGGAAGGTTAGAGTTCCCTCTAATGTGGAAATAAAACCCTAGTGTCTTAAAAAAACCCCACAACCTAGCTGTTGCAAATACACCTCTGCTGAGCTGAAAATAAATCAGCTCCCCAGCAATGCTGACATTATGAGAATACAAAGATGCAGAATAGTGGAAATAAAGACAATTACAGATAGCTTTCAAACTGCTTCAGAGACTTGGGGAAGTAAATACAGAATATTGTGTGAAGATGCCTCTGTTGTTTTATCTGGGATCCCGCTAATTTGAAGGACACTTCAGATGAATCTAGGAACATTTGTTCTATTTCTACCAAGGAGGCTTCCTTTTAGCCAAGACTTAGGCAGCTGCCTGATTTCGTCTAATTTGGAGTGTCCCTTATTGGGGGGGAGAGGGGGGCTGTAGAATGAACCACAAAGCAGGAGGAAAGTTTAACTTTTATTTCTTGAACCCTTTCAAGGTTGCCCAGCTTCAGAATTAGTTGAAGAGTAGTTGATACCCTCCTTTTTGCTAGAGACCTTCCATGTTAATAAAATGAATACTGTAATCCTGGGGAAAAAAGCTGATGGAAACAACTTTCCTAGGCAGATAGGAGCCAGAATATTTAAGCTAAGTAGTATTTGGCCATTCACTTACAGGCAATTAGCATTTCTCAACCTCGTTACGCTGCTGCTAATACATTACTACTATTGTAAAATGCAAACATATGCGCCTTTCCGCTAAATTCAATGGAGTATATCTTGTCTCCCAACATAGTCAAAGCTTTCTACCAACTTCAGCTGAAATGCAAATAAATGTCTATGCTTAATACTCATTAAGGTCAATGCAAAATATACATATATTAAAACCACAACAAAACATATTTGGAATTTTAAAACACCCAACACCATTTCCTTTTGTAGAAGTGATATTTCTCAAGTCCGTGCCTACCATTTTCTGATCAGTGCCATTAAATCATTTAGCAACTAATTACTACATGCTGTTGGGGTGAGTTAATTCTGGGTGGAGTTTCCTGTTGCTGTTCTCTTTTCAGTGGAAAGAGACAAAGAAAGTTCCCATTTAACTCTTGAGTGAGACAAATCCTGTATTGTCACCCTTCTTCAACCAGATGTTTTGCAACTGGACTGATACTACAGGTCCCAAAATTCCTAGCCTTTGGCTAGGAATTACATCCTTTTCCTGAATGAGAACCATGAAAGTTGAAAAATATGGATCAGAGCAACATGACTCTTAAGATTAAAAATTACAGAAATACCTTGAGAAGCCAACTGGCAAATTTATTAAATCCTAGCAAGCCAATATGGACAGAGTCACAGACATATATGCCTTGTGAATCACGGTATCCAAGCCTGATATTGAATATTAAAGTAGAATTCAGGAAACAAGGACAAAAAAAAAAGATTTTGAGGTCCAAGGTAGTCCACGAGGAAAATCAGCAAGTTGTAAAACCAGCAACTTGTTCCTCTTGTGATTTTTTTTCTTTGTATTGATTTTTGTTTTTAAATGCTTTTAACAATCATAAACTGCCCGGAGTTGTTGGAAGACAGGTGACATATAAACTTAATTGTTACGTAACTTTTCATATTGAACTCGATTATATAATGATAATAATTTAGGGTAAGAGAAGGTGTTTACACAAATTGCAATTTAAACCCTTGCAATTTGCATAGATGTTTGTTCGCTGTGTTGTGGGGAGGGGGGGTGTCTTGCCACAGAATCTCCCTTTCTTTATTCGTTGCAGTCTGGGACGTACCTTTCTTTTCTCCAGTAAAGGGTACAATATCTGGTCTGTCTTGGTGCTCCAATGCTTCTTTCTCCAAGTAGGACAATAGTCGTTCTCTATCGAAAGGTCCCGTAGCAGGTTTACTGGTCTGATCTTTCTGTCGAAAGCCAGCTGGTAGAAGGGCATTCTGCCACAGGGAGTGTGAGAAACAGAAGGAATTATTCGGTCAGGAGGAGTTGAACATTTCCACAACTTCTTTTAATGTGACATTTAGCTCATGCGCACGTCTGTTTCAGAGCAAGCAGAATTGAAAAAGGATACAGATAGTCATCCTTTTTTAACGACCCCGTAATCCCTTGTGGGGTGGAGTCTGGGCAACTGAATGGAGCTGAGCGTTTACTGGCCGGATGCCCTTCCTGTCGCCAATGGGGAGTTTTATTCAGCAGATGTATTCTCATTGTGCCCAGAGAGAGAAATATCTGCCTCTACCTAGGATCAAACTCACAGCCTCCTGATTGCGAAGTGAGAACTCCACCTCTAGGCCACCGCACCACCCAAAAAGGATACAGATAGTCCTCGACATAAAACATTTGTTTAGCGACCCTTCAAACTTACCATGGCACTCAAAAAAGTGATTTACAACCTGTCCTCGCATTTACAACCATTGCAGCATCCCCTACCTAACTCAACACATAGAGCTGCCAGAGGGATCTTTTTTTTTTTTTCTCAGAAATCGCATTGCATTTGAAAAATGTTGTACACGCTACAAAGCTGATTTGGGAAAAGTGCTTCAGAGCTGAAGGGAGCTATTCATTAAAACACCACCATTTTTTCAGATTTGAGCAGAAGTCTGAAAAAAATTAGGTTTGTTGAATGACTAGCAGAAAGGTGCTTCTCTCTATAGCAATAGCACTTGGACTTACTGTATATACCACTTTACAGTGTTTTACAGCCCTCTCTAAGCAGTTTACAGAGTCAACATAATTGCCCCCAAGAATTTTGGATCCTCGTTTTACCCATCTCGGAAGGACAGAAGGCTGAGTCAACCTTGAACCTGGTGAGATTTGAAGTGCTAAATTGCAGTCAGCCGGCAGTCAGCAGAAGTAGCCTGCAGTACTGCACTCTTAACCACTGCGCCACCATGGCTCATACCTTACAAAGCACTTCTGAATCATTTTCAAAGCACACGCAGATCTAGTAGACATTAAACTGCATCCCCAACCCACCATCATCCTCTCAGTATGTCTATTTGGCTATCACCTTCTCCTGCTTCATGAGTCCCTTCAAACATTAGCAATAGACCTCTTTGTTCCTTCTGAATGATTGCAAATTCCATAATCTATTGTCACAGGTCACATTGATGGAACTGAAGACATCCCATTTGGATTGTTTATCCTAGTCTTGTGAACTTGGGCATTACAGTATATACAAGGGATTATGGTTCGCTGTGATAGACATTGTGGATACAGTTAAACCAAACTAACCATGAATCTAGCTTGTATCTTTATACCTTCAGGCATTATAAACATTTAAGGGGCTAATTTTGAACATTGGAAATATGGTTTCATTGCTTAGAATGTACCTCTGGATCTAGGTCATCAAGGACATTCTCTAGCTGTTTTAGTTCATCCTCAGAGAGTTTGTTCAGAATTTCATCTTCGTTGATGTTTCTGTATTTCTCCAACTCTTTCCGGAATGGCACTGACATGTCTCTCAATCACGTCTGTTGACGTTTACCTGTCAATCATTCACAAGACAGTCTTCCGGATCCCTGGAAGGATGGAAGATGGTCAGTTCTCTCTGATAATTTACAATCATTGCAGAAATGGTTTATTGGCAGCGTTTTACATGATACGATTTATAATACAAAACCTAATCTTAATATCTGCTTGGTTCTTTCAACTACTAAAACTACATCACATATATCAGTTCGTTATAATTCTTCTAACATGCCTCTAAGAATTATTAGCTGCATCTCATGAAGTTCTCACAAGTCATAAGCTAACTCTACCCACTTGAGCATTGTCATTTGCATTGTCAAAGCAAAGGAGCATTTATTTTATCAATATGGCCTGTCTGTGTTCAGATATATTCTTTATCTTTGATTTTTTTTTTTCTGGCACTGCCTCTTTGCTTGTGCTTTGACTTGGCATGACTTGGTGCTGGGTTGTCCCATGGCTCAATCACAACCATTCACGGAGATGAAGGATCTTCCATCTCCTATGCAATGCCTGCCTGTGTGGAACTGGAAAGAATGAGATTTACCCAGGAGAATTTCTTCCCACACTTTTCTCAAGGTTAGTTTCTCTATTCCAGCAAAAGATAGGAAATATTTGCTGACTTGGAAACTATTTTCAGTTTGTGCGTTCAAGTTTACAGCACTGTTTACCCATTGGATTCATTTATTAAGATCTGCACACAGAATGACACACAAGGTTATTGATTAATTTCTAAATCCTTACAGTGAGACAAGAAGTATTATCAATTCATGTGAGACAGAAAGTCGTGTTTATAATTGGGATCAGTTGCTTCAAAATTTTCAGTTGCTTACTTATCCTTGCTTCTCAAACATGTTTTCCACCCAGAAGGAAAAAAACATTCTTATATTCTAAATAAAAGTATGAAATATTACCTTCACTCTGACTTCGCTTCATGATCTCATCTAGTAATGTGATTGTACTGGTTGGAGCACATGATTCTTAAATTACATGGAGATCCCGTTGTACTATATGTCATTCTTGGACTACTTCTTGAACCTCAACAATATGTCAGAGCTCACCCATGTGACTTCCTTCTTACCAATATTTTGTTTTCAACATCTCAACACTCCCAAGAAACGTAGATGACTCAAAATAAAGACAGACTTTAGAATTCCCACAATGCTTCTGTCATAGTGTCATCCTGAGAACAATTAATATATCAACCCTCCTTGGTGGGAGTTAAAAATTGGCTGAAAGAACTACTCTTGCTGCTCAATTTGAAAAGTTCCCGATGGGATACATCAATTCTCTTTTTTGAGTACGGTCTCGAAAAACAATTTTATTAGGCTTAATTTTTTTTCTTCTCACTAAAAATTGTTTAAACATGAAGACTCTCTATTCCATTAAAAGAAACCAATCGAACTGGGCCTCGATCCTTGTTGTCATGTTCAATAGATGCTTTTCTGGTCCTTTGATGTAATTGTGCAGCTGTTTATGTACATCAAGCTCACTCTTGCTTTGATCTAGAGAAGATTAAAGAGTTTCATAGTGGAGGAAAGAAGGAAAATATCTCACTTTGCTGTGCCAAAAAAAGAGGAACAACAGAACTAGACAAGAATAACATTTAATGGGTGTGGTCTGTTAACAGAAACAACCTTCATTTACTTGTTGCTTTAGCCCAGTTGCAATGAGGACTAGTCTCTTTATGGAAATCTGGAAATATAACCAAAAGAAAGCAAGGTTTTGTCTACGAACTTCCCAGAATTGGCATCCCAACATCAGAAGTCATCCAACTAGATTACAGGTGGATGGTTGAGGTGCACCAAACTTGTGGCCTTCTAGATAAACCCCAACTGCAAATCACAGGTGACCTGGCCAGCAGGTGCAGTGAAGAGAACTGCTGGGAGTTCTGTTTAGCATCTTCTGAAAACTTTAGAGCAAAGAATATGAAGAAAATCAGAGCGGACTGATAATCAAACCAGCTTTCTCTGTCTTGATGATTCCTCTTCCACATATGTCTGCAGGCTAATTCAGAAAACTGGGGGTTCCAAACTCTCTCTCAAGCCAGAGTTGGGAAGCTGGGTTAAAGCTGGATCACAACTGGGCTGCTTGCATAGATTCAAATCCTCACTCACTGAATAACTTTGGATCAATCACTTATTCTTGATCGCTTGCCTTTCAGAGTTGTTGTAAAGAAAGAAACCAAGAGAAACTATTTGGGAGAGCATACTTAATATTTCATGCAAAGCAATTATTCTGCCCCACATAAATTGGTCTTTTCAGGTTTTTCTCTCCTAGATGCTCCTTCCATAAAATGTTTCTCTTTGGAAAGAATTACTGTTTCAGTAAGCAGCAAACTCTACACTTTGACTAAGGTCATAAACCGATAATCACTTCTTTGAATTCTTCCAGGAGAAACTCTCCATCTTGCTGTTTTGGATACATTTCTTTCTTTCTTTCAGAGATAACATTTCATGGGAACCAAGAGTGGCTCTATAAAAATGAAAAGACACATCTTGCAGAATATAGGGCACTAATAGTTGTGATTCGCTACACACACACACACACACACACACTCACACAACCCAATTCTAGAATGGGAAGAGATTTTAAAGGTTGTCTAATCTAACTCACTGCTACGCAGAAATCTTACTGCAGTGGCTTTTTGTATTGAAAGATAAATTCTGCTTAATTACCTCCCAACTATTTGGGTAGAGTGTTCCCCATTTCTGCACTGAACTATTTTTACTCTTTGACCCAGGGATGAAATCCAGCAGGTTCTGACAGGTTCTGGAGAACCGGTAGCGGGAATTTTGAGTAGTTTGGAGAACTGGCAAATACTACCTCTGGCTGGCCCCAGAGTGGGGTGGGAATAGAGATTTTGCAATATCCTTCCCCCAGGAGTGGGGAGGGAATGGGGATTTTGCAGTATCCTTCCCCTGCCATGCTCACCAAGCCACACCCACCAAGCCACACCATGCCCACCAAGCCACGCCCACATAACCAGTAGTAAAAAAATTTGGATTTTGACCACATTTTTCTACTATTTAGGTAAAGTAGTCATTTTTCCAATTCCAAGCCATTGTCTCTAGTCTCTAGTCCTTTCCCCTGGAGCAACATTTAAATTTTTTCACAATGATAAAATTAACTACCCATCCGCCAAGAAGAAAGCAGCGTGCCAGAAATTATCTGTATCCTAGATGAGCAGACAAAATGTGAGCTTAACATATCCAAATACAGCTTTCATCCCACAAAATTCAGAAAAATTCAACCACGGGCATGCTCATAAAAAAATGCTGAAAACACAGCATTAGTTCTTTCGCCATAACTGATGGACATTTGGTATTATTTGCAGGTTGTGGTGAGAAAAGTCAGGATGATGGCTGCAGTTGAAGCTTTGCCTATTTCTCATGCGTGATACACATAAATAAAATAAGTACAGGCAGTCTACAACTAACGACCACAACTGAGCCCAACATTTATGTTGCTAAGTGAGAAATATGTTAAGTGAGTTTTGCCCCATTTTACGACTTTTGTTTCCAAGTTTGTTAAGTGAATCACTGCAATTGTTAAGTTAGTAACACCGTTGTGTCGTGAATCTGGCTTCCCCATGGACTTTGCTTGTCAGGAGGTCGCAAAAGGAGATCCCATGATCCCGGGATCCTGCAATCATCATAAATGTGAGTCAGTTGTCAAGCATCCGAATCAGTGGAGGTTTCAAAATTTTTTACTACTGGTTCTGTGGGTGTGGCTTGGTGGGCGTGGCAGGGGAAGGATACTGTAAAATCTCCATTCCCACCCCACTCCAGGGGAAGGTTACTGCAAAATCCCCATTTCCTCCCGATCAGCTGGGACTCGGGAGGCAGAGAATAGATGGGGGCGGGGCCAGTCAGAATTTTTACTACCGGTTCTCTGAACTACTCAAAATTTCAGCTACAGGTTCTCTCAGAACCTGCTGAAACCCACCTCTGATCTGAATGTAAATCACATGACCATGGGGATGCTGTGACAGTCATAAGTGTGAAAAATGATCGTAAGTCACTTTTTTTCTGTGCCATTGTAACTTATTTCCTAACTAAGTTAGGAAATAAGGACAGCAAGCAGAGCAATTAATAGGGAAGATGATGTGTTTGGAAGCATATCCACTGCTCACAAAACGGCCACATCAATCCATCTTCCAATCAATTCCATGAAACTCAGAGGTATGACTGATAGATTAATCAATACAAGCTCCTATTGGGCCTTATTCAACCAAAATGAGCTTAATAACCAGCCATGCAGGCAGTGTATGTTTCCCGGTCCAGATTCCCAAGATTTAGTTTTTCTTTTTAATCTCGTTTAATTTAAGCTTTTAAAGTTTTCTTCGGACACGTTTATTTTGGCAGACACATCTGGCATGGCCACTTGCCTTGCTCTTAAAATGTACTGATTACACAACTGCAGCTGGATCACAAGGAGGTGGTGTCATCTGTGGATTTAGAAAGGAGACGGCACAAGAAAGACAACCCAATTTCCCAACAAGTGAGTCCCTTTGAACCTTTTGTGTTTTAAAACAAGCATTTTAACTGAATTCTCTGGTTTGTTAAATACGAAACACAAAGTATTTAGTATTTAACTAAATACTTCGTATTTTAAATACGAAGTATTTAAAAAAAGAAAATTGATTTTTTTTTTTAAGGACACCCCGATTTATAGAGAATTACATATATCAACGAGCCCTTTTCGCCTCCATTCTCTATACAGAAACTAGGATCCTCCACTGTCCTCGGCCACAGATTGTTTCAAAGTGACTTAATTAACCACAATAAATAGTCCTTATTTTACAAGCACGCCCACGGTCGAACCGAAAGCAAACAAGTCACGTTGGGGTCAGCAAGTGGTGTGAACTCCGAATGTAAAAGAGAGGAGATTCCGAGGAAGGCATCTGGGTTAAATCACAAGCCAAGACGCAACTTGGGAGCGATCCTGGGGGGGGGTGGTGGTGGAGAAAAACGCATTCTCATAGTCTGAATGGGGCAATGGAATATTAAATTCACTCCGACTTAGCTCCATGACCTCCTCTGGTAACCAGATGCTACTGATTGGCACATGAAGTCACTTCACTGACTCCAGTTCCTGATTTCTAAGGGTTGAGTCTCGTGGTTGAGAGACAGGCTAACTTGGGCTCTGTCCATCTGCTGAAACCAACCCAGAAGACAAGGCTGCCATCTTAGCCCTGATTTCTAGGAAGCAAAAAAAACCTTTGAAAACCACAGGGTTTTCACAATTTTTTTTTTTTTACATACCCTGCAGAAAGGGAGACGTTTCCTGCAATGGGAGCATCTGCTGCAAGGAGAGATAGATCCATCACCAAATGATCAATTGGGGGTAAAATAAACTCGATTTCCCCCCCCTTCCTCCCCCCTCCCTCCCAAGGGATTGGGGATGATGGGAAGGATTTCTTTCCTGCCTTCCACACTCGTTTCCCGGAGAATGGCCATCAAGGTGGATCGAAGCCATTGGCCAAACCTAGGTCCCAGAGGCTCCTTTCTTTCCCCCACCCCAAAATAGCCACCCAGGAAGCCGCATAGGAGGGGGCTGCCTGCAATTACTGCAGGTTCGAATCTCTCCAAGGCTCAAGGTTGACTCAGCCTTCCATCCTTTCTAAGGTAGGTGAAATGAGGACCCAGTTTGTGGGGGCAATAAGCTGACTTTGTATAAATATACAAAAGGATGAAGGCTATTGCTTAGCGCATTGTAAGCCGCCCTGAGTCTCCGGAGAAGGGCGGCATATAAATCAAATTAAAAAAAAAAAGAAGTCTGCACTGAAAGGAGACCATCCTTCTTCTCTTCCCATCCCTTCCCTTCAATATACCATTCAGGAACTTGTAACTAAGATACCCCCGGCGATTTTTTATTTATTTATTTTTTTAAAAAAAGCTCCTTTTCACAACATTTGGCGATTCTTGCCAAGAATCGGGGCGGATCCTCCGATAGGTTTCCCCACCCACCCATCACTCGTCCTCCCATCTCCGGGCAACAGCACAAAACGGCTCGGGCACCGGAGCATCCAGCAATAAATAAATAAATAAATAAATAAATAAACCCTCAAGGCAGTTGTTGGGCAGCAGCCGGAGCCTTGCAAGAGCTCTCCGGGCCGGCTGGCACGGGATGCCCTCGCCTCGCCTTCTTCCCAGCAGAAGCAGCAGCAGCAGCAGCATCCTTGCTGTAGGAGAGGCGGAGGGCGGCGGCAGGCAAAGAGCCAAGCGCCCCTGGGAAACCGGGGAAGGAAAAGGGGCGATCGCGGGGGGCTTACCTCCTCCTCCTCCTCCTCCTCCTCCTCCTCCTCCTCCCCCTGGCCGGGGCCCTCTCGCCCGACTGGCAGCCCCCGCACCTCGCCCCGCTCCTTTCTCCGCGCCTTCCAGCCGAACCAACCCAAAGCGCTGTCAAAAGAGGCGCAGGGCGCTTTGCCCAAACCAGCCGCCGCCGCCGCGCAGCCTCAGTCGCGCCGCCGGGCACTATGGGGCGCGTAGTTCGAGGCGGCTGCCATGGTGACGCTTCTGGAGTGTTGAGGCGGGGTGGGGAGCCGTTCGCGCCCACCTTCTGTCCTGCACAGACCGGAGGGTGGGCCGGGCCTTGCTGGGTAGCTCCCGGGATGCAGCCGTCCCTCTCCCGCGGGATGCAGGGCGCTGGCACCTGTTGGGGTTTCTTGTGAGAAGCATCCCCTGCTCCTCTGTGTGTGTGTGTGTGTGTGTGTGTGTGTGTGTGTGTGTGTGTGTGT